TTACTCTTCACTGCAACCGCTTCGAATTCAGGGAAAAATATTTTGACCCACAAAATATGCAGAGGCAGCCGGCGGGCCTGAACTACACAATAGACTAGGGGGTCAGTGAAAACAAAACAGACCCCCACAGGCACTAAATCTCCTCTCCCACTCACACACACACACACACACACACAGAGGCCGATACGTACTAACAGCATGTACACTGCCGTCACCTCGAGCTTTATCAAACGAAGTAATAAAGCCAAAAGAGAAACAAATCTGTGACTGACAGCTGTGAAAGCATGTCTCTGGTCCTCATGGATGTGGTTGGGAGCTTTTGGCCTTCGTAAGTCATTATAGCAGCATACATCAATAACAAAGTGAGGTGCAGTAATCTAATTCGCTCAGGGTAAAAGAGACCCTTCCATAGGTCTTGGCTTCCCTAAAATCACGTGGATGAAAAAGCTTTCAGCAGGAGAGTCGGGTCCGAGAGAAACACAAGGTGTAGCGCATCCCTTTTGTCCTGTGGCACCTGCGGTGGCGTGGCATATCGGTGCCTGTGTACAATGAAGCAGCATTGGTTTACTTGAGCTGTCACATATGCGAGGGGGAAGGGGGGGTGGGGGGGATGGGGGGGTTCTCACATGCAAACGTTTCGCTTTTTTGCTTGAGAAGTGAAAATGAATGATCAATTTTTTAAATAGCTGCTGATTAATTGCAGATGAATCAATCAAGCCACTCATCATTTCAGCTGTGTTTATCTATTAACAGCCAACAAAATGTGCATTATCTTCATTTGTTGTAATATCCAGTCTATTGCTTTTTGTACAGTTATGTGTATTTATCTCAAACACAGTCTGTTTTAGTGTTATTTACCTGTTCCATGGTGCTGAAATGACACAAAGTTCATTGTGATCCACTGTTAAAACTCCACATGTATGAATAAATATAAATGTAAAGGATTTGTTATTAAAAGTAAAAAAACAAAAGAGTGATCACAGTGCATCGAATATAATTGATTAGGAATGGGGGGGGGGGGGGGAAATCGGCTAAACTAAATGATGCTTTTATGTCAGTGAAATGTCAGCTCTGAAGGTCAGCCCATATCAGGGAGGAAAGAACAGTGATCTTTCAAAAATACAATCAATGGGACCTACTAAGTGTCCAGCAGGAGCACAATATAACATCAATACACACTCGAATTGGAAAAGGGGGAATCTGGTTTAAATGTATTCCTTCAAGCGGAAGAGAGTGGCAGAAAATTCTGCTGTTGACAACAAAACAACGTGGAAGTGCGTTGTTAAGTAAGTGGAGGTATCTTCCTGCTGCCGCAGGGTAGAGGACGTTTTACAGCATCAACAAAATGTTGCAAGATGATTAAAAAAATACAGCGTACAGTTGTGATAAGACGTTTTCCAGTTGTGGATGTACAAATGCAAACACATAAGACTAAAATATGGTGACAATTATGGGCCAAACTTGTTTTAACCATGTGGTATTTAAGCTAGCTGAGCCAGTGAATAAAGTAGTCTACGACTACTGTTTAAATATGTTTATAATGCAAAGTATGCTAACAAACTATACTAAAGGAAATAGTTTATAGGTTACAAGGTTTTTATTCGTCATTGTACGACAGGGTTGCACAACAACATTTTGATTGTAGTCCTAATTTGCTACAAATAAAAAAAACGATATTATATATTGAGGGTGGAGGATGAGTTATTGAGTCTCATAGCCACTAAGATTTTCATTCTTAAAGATTAGACAAATCATTGGCTATTTTTTATCTCCTTGTTTTACTGATATTATAACTCTTACAATATGGATTTCTTAGCTGAATCATAACTTTACAATAGATACGAGTCATTGAGATAATAAAAGATAATCCTCAGTTGTGTGTGTGGGTCTGAGCCAAATGTCACTATGTCTTTATTCAAAGACTCAGAGTAATGGTCTAGTAATTTGAATTAAGTCCATGGGTTGTTTACCCCTTTTCTATCAGTGGGCTACGTTATCAATCAAACAATCAAAACTACGGATGGGTCACGAGGGCGTAGCCTTCAACAGTCTCCCAAAAACTGCCGGTTTATCCGCCGCACCTGTTCCCCTATCTTTCCCTTCAGCTTTCGTCTCTTACCTTCTGGTTTTATGGCACAGCTCCACCAGAGCCTGGCATTGCTTCTGGAAGTCTGGAAACACGCGCCCGGTAAAACTATCCCCGTCTTGACACGCCGCTGAACTCACACGAGTGAACTTTCCCGTTAACAGCGCCGTTCGTTAACTAACGCCGGTGATGCTGCAAGCCCACGCCTGTAAGGATGACGTGTTGCCTTCACGGTCCCCTCCGAAGTTCCTGCTTTGGGGGACATCGCAGAGTTGTAAAAAGCGATTTGTTGACGCTGATTTACGTGTTTGTGGTCGGAAGTAATATCATGAATGTGTGTTTTGGCGAAACATTAAAGAAATAGTTACACCCTGTTAGTTTGCAGACCGTATTGGGATTTATTCATACGTGTTTGTAAATAAATATTTAGGTGCGTGTACCCTGCATTAAAGGCTATTCTTTGTTCTTTTATTGTCTGCACGTGAAACACTTTGGTGCTCTTTTTAAAATGTGTTGTATAAATATGTTTTTATTATTATTATCAATCACACAAGATATTTTTTTTGGATTAAATCTTCACTGCACAACATTCACTAATAGCCAATAATCGAGCATACAAAAAGTACAATTACACAGAAACAATGTGTTTTCTACAAAACGTGGTGTTTGTTGTCAAATCTAAGAGCCAATCAGACCACACCGGACCACAGACTGAGTCGGGGGACATTCTAGGAGTACATCCCAAGTATCCCAAGTCTCTTAATTGCATCCCCGTTTCCCTCACTTGGGTCCTTTCCTTGCGTCGTAGTTCTTCCCACCAGGGATGCATGGAGAGACGCAAGGAAACCATGCGAGGAGAGAGGAACGAGGAAATATATTTTATGACAAGTGAGACGTCCTTTTCTCAGTTGCGTCACGTGAAGCGACGTCTGTTTCTGATCACAGCTGGATCAGCTGTCAGTCGGCTTTAACAGCTGAAGAGACTTTTGAGAAGTTTGTGTCTGTTCACATGATAACTGTACTTAATAATAGTAACTAATAACACTCATAACTAATAAAGACACACAGTTATCATCACTGCCAGAGTGTTTTCTCTCTGTAGCCTGTTAGTTTAAAAAGCTGCAGTGAGTATTTCAGTCTGTGCTATTTATATTGTGTTCTGTGTCCTGTTTTAAGCGCAGGACCGAGTTCTACAGGCGGAATGCGTTTGTCTTATTTATGAATTATAAGCGTAACTGAATGAAAATGATAATAAATGATGTAAAAAGTGTTTCGTCTCTCCAGTTCTCTCTGACTTTAATTGTATCCATAATAAAAGCTATTGAAGGAAATAAGAGATCATGAAAAGACAAATCTTTTTAATAAATGAAGAAAGTTTTGTTGTTCAGACCTATAATAATGAACATCTATTTAAACCAGATGGTGAATCAGAAAACGAATCAAATATCAAACTTGAGTTTAGTCTGTGATCTGTCTTCACTCTGGTCTGAAACTCCAGTGATATTTAGATCAGTCCGATCAGCTGCAGCGTCCAATCACATAACTTCCTGTTAGACTGTTCTGGTGCGTCCTCGCTCATGGCTCCTTGGTCCCTCCTAGCGGTGCAAAACAACTTCTGGTTCTAGCGAGGAGCAAGGAGCGAGGAAATGACAAATAAGAGACTTGGGATGTACCCTCGGTGGACAATCTGATAGTTTAATTAAATGGATTTTTCTTTACATGATTTTTTCTTTTTTATGCTTTTAGTTCGGTCTGTCTTATATCCTCTGCGGTTGCCCCCTGGCATATTAGTATTGTGTTTATTTCTTATTGACAATTTGTGAAATTGTACATGTGCAATTGTTCAATAAAAATGTAAATAAAAAAAGCCTCATGAAGGCCAGATATATCCCAAAATGCATTGGGTCAAGTCTGTTAATAAATCAGAGGCTGTGTTGCTGGCTTGGAATGATTGCATCATAACCGTGCTGATCTTAGAGGCCATGCACAAAGAAATAACATGACATTCATCCATTCTGGTACCAGCTACATCTGTGCTGTTTCTTCTTCGTCCTCTTCTTCTTTGAGGTTTTTACAACAGTCAGCATCCACAATTACTGCCACCTTCAGGCTTTTTTCTCCCTCAGGTATCCATTCTTTTTCAAGTGGTTTTTCCAGACCAGTGGTTCTTAAAGGCTAAGTAACCACTTACTCCCTTGAGCACCGTCTCCGCACTCTCTACATTTAACATTGTCCTCTTCCCACCCTATTTGCTGCAGTTGTGTCCTAATTTCGTGTCTTTCCTGTGTAACAAATGTCTCAGCCTCATTGCATAGACCTATTGGATGTTTTACTATGATAAAGAAGTGTACTGTGATGTGTGCAAATGTGTGGAAATCATGATTAGAATATCTTGAGTGTAATACATGTATGGATTATCCTTTGCAAACTTGGATAGTTTGTAAGGCTTGCACTCAAGGCATACTGAGCACTTCATGGAGTATATATAAATATATAGTCTTGATCACTATTGTGTTTTTGTGTGATTTAAATAATTATGTGAGATTCAATTTCCATTTTTGCTTTTCTTTTGTAGTTATGGTGATACAATTATTACTACTACACATTTATGTGACATCACTGTAGCATACATCTTCTGAAAAAGAGATGTGAGTAAAAGGATTGTGCAATACAGTATTGAGGTATACATGCATTATTAACAGGAGACCAGACGGACCAAAAAATAGGAAACATGTCTTCAAACCATCATGCAGTGTCTTAGTGTGGAGTCAGTCTTGCCTGAGATGTAAATCAAGGTGCTGAAGTTGGAATGGTGTTTGTACCTGTTTTATTTTTTAATTTCTTACATTTCTTTTTTCATAAATGTTAGCAAATGACATAAATAATGAATGGAGGGGACACTGTAGAAATGAGAATAACTTAAACACAATTTATTTTTTTTTAAATGTGTATAAAATGTTTAAAAGTGGTAACTATATCTCCTGATTCATGAGTTGTAGGTCACTAAGGACAGGATCGTTCCCACAGTAACATGAATTGTAAATCTTTCATGTATCTAGCAAGTCAAGAACCCATCATTTAATTCTTACAAAACTACCGGAAAACTGAGTGAGAGTGCATAGACAGGGTGTTTACAGTGTACTGCATGTCTGCTTCATGCAGATTAGTCATGTTAGGCCCCTGTTGCTCTGCTATAAACAAAATGTACTGTGAAAAAAACATGTTTAATTTATGGCACAAAACAGTGTTCAGTTAAATAAAAGAACAGCAAAAAGAAATTCCCTTTCCTCCTTTCATTTTTTTTCCAGCAAATGTGTCAATCTGGTCAGTTACATTGAGTGTGATAGCAACTATGTCTGCCTCGCAGCTTTTTGTAGGATTTGACCTAGGCGCTGGTTTTAGTTGGTCTGACCATCACCGAGCTGTCGCTGGACAGCGTGCCGTAGAACCCGTTCAGGAACTGGTTCTTCAGCCGGTGCTGGAAGTGGACATACCTCACCCCTGGTCCATAGCCAGAGAACACGTGTGACACCTGCAGGTCAACAGAGAGACGTGCAATGAAACATCCGGATTCTGGCGCTTGGATACAAGCAGATCACTACTAACTGTCAGGGGACTCAGTAACTCACCTCCTTCCAGTTGTGTGAGTAAGCGCTGCGGTCCTCGGTGGGGTTGGCGGTGTGCTCTGAGATCACTGTGCTTTTGTCTGCACCCAGTAACTTCACGTGCAGCTCGTAGATGAACTTATGCAGCTGACTCTCCTCATACCTGATGGAAGGACAGAAACTTAAAATATACAGTGCACCAAGAAATCATGAAGTAGTATGACACGTTGATGAGTCGACAGATGGCAGCACATTAAATGCTGCCAAACACAAAATAAAATAAGAAGTGAATAACAACTCATTTAACAGGTCTAATTTATTTCTTGTTCACTTCCAAGAAGCTTCCTGGAAATAACTTTAGCATTTGGTATTAATTGAATGGTATATAGAGCCAGTGTTATTTGGTACACATCAAATTGATTAATTCCAGAGGATTATTATTAGTGTAACCTGGAGATTACTTTAAATCACAGCACATGTGTAGCTGAACATGCAGAAGTAGTAAGCCAAGCACACAATTCAATTCAACATATATGAGGAATTAAGAGTCCAATAATAAGTTGATCCATCCATTCCATGATATGTAACCACATGTCCTTTTCAGAATCGTGGGGGTCCGGGAGCCAATCCCAGCTCACACTGGATGAGACGCAGGGTAATACCCTGGACTAGTCAATCCCATGTCCGGCACATAGAGACAGACAATCATTCATGCTCACATCATCACTATACTGACAATTCAGACTCAGCAATGAACCCTAACCTGCATGTGTTTGCACCAGTGGAGGAAGCCGGAGCACCTGGAGAAAAGCCACGCTAACACAGAGAGAACGTGAGGATATGTTCACTTTATTATTAACGTATCATTAATAGGTTTAAATCTTGAAGGAAACTCATATTTCCCTTAGAATTATTACCAAATGACAGGAAGTCATTTCCTAAGAAATTGGTAGGAACTGTATAAATACAGCCTGGATGGATTTGAATAAATTATGAATGAAGTTAAGCTTTGATTGTTTTTTGTAACCTCTAGCAGAGGTGAAATAACACTGGGTTTAAATATTCAAACAAACCAGCAAAAGCAATATATCTACTGGTTTGTACCTCAGAAGAAAGATGTAATTAAAGTCCTATTAGCGTTGTAAATTATTAATTGATTGATTGTTTTAATGTAATATCAACTAGCACTTGCACTTTGATGCTACGCTACGCTAATCTAGTCAACGGTAAGGCAGTTTGTTTATCACAAACAACCCCAAATCACAACACTATTTCCTGCGTATCGTCCACACACGCTTTGCGAGGCAAATGCACAGACTGTGAAACACGTACTGTACACGGTGTCATCTATGTGTGTACTAACCAAGCTGATAAGACCACAGTGATAAGTTATCAACACATGGGTGGGTGAGGTGGTGAGTGATGGGGGTGCTCATTAACCCACCAGTCTTGGACGACTATTTCAGGCTGAAAGTCATCCAGCAGCTCTTCCCACAGTCCCTCTGCCTTCAGGTCCACAACCTGCTCCATGGTGAACCAGCTGAGGACAAGAGAGCAGACACGAGTCAGATTCACTACATGTTAATGATTCAGTATCCTGGCCTTATATCTCTATTGTAGGTGGTATCATATAATCCCTGTTGTGACCAGCTGCATAGTAACACCCACCTGCATTGAGGCAACTGACAGATCACAGCACCTGCCGGGATGCCACTGGAGTCGTAGGGGAGGGTTTCAATGCTCGTGGTCCAGCCGCTGAAGTCGCCTATGAATTGAGAGAAACCTGATCAGAGACTTTGCAGAAATAATTTCCTGTGTTTTGTTTCGCAGCTCAAACATGCAGGACACGCCTGTGCCTCACCATGAGGTTGAAAACGTGGAGGTCCACGTGTTGGCACTTCAGGCAGGTCGGGTTCAGGTGGAGGGACGTCCTTGCTTACACCTGAGAGAAGACAAAGGGACAATTGTAAATGGTACCACGCCTACTGAAGCCACTGTAATTCCACTGTTAATACCTCAAAGCCAATGGATATATCTTTGTGACAGGGTAACAGGGTGTGCCTCTGTGTGACTAAAGTACAGTTTAAGTATCAGTCAGCAGCTCATGAAGCTCACGTCGACATTTTTGGAAACTTCCAGTGTAGTTGTGTTTGACGTCACTGAAGAATCCGACTTTGCAACTTTTTTAACCCAAGCAAACCCAGTCGTCCCGTTGAGTTTGTAAAGAAATGACGGTGTGCAGTCCTATCACCTAGTTCCACTTGTTCCGTTGTATTATATTTTGGTTTAATGTTTAAAATGTTTTCAAAAACTCAATCAACTTGCGTTTGCATTGAAGATATAGCCATTATAGAAAGTTATTATGATAAGTGATGCAAATTCTCTGTATAAGTCAGATTTAATTCATGCTTTTCTGTATGACATATAACTATGGTTGGCACTTTGCATATCCCTATTTAATGGATATGTTGTAGTTTGGGTTAGGTATTGATATTGATAATATCGCAGACAGACAGTTGGCTGATGTTCCCCTTTAGTGTGGCTATCCAAGCACGGTGAGAGTGAGGCTACAATGTAGGAGACCCCACAGAAGAAATACCAAACCGAAAGAGCAGCAATGACGACAGAAACGTCCTCAGGAGCGCAGTCCTGCATTTAGCATCTCCACACCATTAGTCAGGCTGCACAAAGCTGCTACGTTTGCGCCTTATTGGCTCAATTGTTACTGGAGAGGAACAGCAGCCTGGTGCTGACTAACAGATGAGTAATGCATCTTGAAAGTCTTAGAAAACAACAACCCTAAAACCACTTCAAGATTAATTAAGGAATCAAAAAAACTTTGAAACACTTTAAAACTTTGAAAAACCAAGTAGCACGCGCACTAACATCTGTAGACCGTTATGTAACTTTGATCCCTCCTCTGGATCAGTACTGTAAAAAAAAAGATCCTGATCAGTAAGTAGGCTATAGCAGAACAGCACAACAGTGCATGAGTCGTGTTTCTAACGGTGTTCTTGTTATCGTACCGTGAGGTGACGGGTTCTTCAACATATTTCTCCCCAGCGGTTTGACGTCATAGACGGACTTCCAGTCCAGGGTGTCGGGCATCGGTGCGCCCTGCAGGCTCCACTCATCCTCACATCTCTTCTTCCACTCAGACATGGTGCGACACTAACGCTGTGGAATCTCGCTCTTTCACGAGTTTTTCAGGAAGTCTGAGAGGGTTTTTATTACAGTCTGTAGTTCATACGCCACACCCCATGATACAATGGAAGTAAGGCAGCGCAATGCACGCTGCTGCCTGGCCTCTTAAAGCCACAGTGTTTAATAGTGTCATGGGATATAAAAGATCAATGACACTGAAGTGAAAAGAAGTGATTATGGAGCCCCAAAACTGACAGTAAAAGGTTAGACATCGAGAATACATGATGTCAGTTGTTAAATAATAATGAATATATAAAAAAGCTTTATACTTGTAGCACCCTATAGCACTATTCTGCTAACCAACATGTACAAAACTCTATTTTACACTTCTGTTTATTTTTGAATAACTCATTTAATTTATACTGAACCACAGAGAGAAAAAGTAGACGCCTCTACCAAGGCCACCATTTACTAATTCATGCACATGAGTTATGATGCATGGCCTCAAATTAAGTAAATTGTTCACACGTTTTGATTCATTCGTGGGCAAGAATTAAATAACTAAGTCAACTTTGGTAGTGCAAGGCAAGTCACTGATTCCACCTGCTTAAAGGTGACGGCTGGAATATACATAATCATAATCCCAAACCAGAAATATGAAAATAAATGTATTAGTTGGCAAATTACTCTTTCGTAAATATGTTTCAATTTCGGTGTAATTAATCAATTGTAAGTAACCACTGAAATAATTTCCAAGTATTTCCATTGCAGAATCCACAGAATACACCTTTGAATTATGAGTCATACAGTAAGTAGCCATGAGTCATAGTGGCAGCCTGTCTGCTAGTTTACCAATATATGCTCTCTCCATGGTAACATGACTGACACTGCCCTGACCTTTGCACTGCATATAGGGTGTACTGTGCGTTTATTAACCAGAGAAGAGTTTAAGTGCACTGATATGGAGCACAATGCAAGGTTTGTGTATTTAAATGTAAAATGTGAACTGTGAAACATTTGACTTGTACAGACTCAACCTGTTTGGCTATGTATTCTGTACTGTGTGCTCTCTCTTCAGCAGGTTATCTGTGAACAAGGTACAGACATAAAGAAGATCTGGCCCTTTGCTGCAGAGTATTAATAATGAGAGGAGCAGGGTATTTCCAGTTTATTAAAATAAAATGAAATAAAATGAAATAAAATAAAATAGAATAAAATGAAATGAAATGAAATGAAATGAAATAAAATAAAATAATTTCCTGACCATTAGAAAGGTTAAAGTCCAAGGTAGAATACAGATAGTAAATAATTGATACTAAACCTATATGGATGTGTAGTGAGCTTTGCTTAAAGGAGAATTAATTAATTGTATGCATTATTAAAATCATGTTATTAGCTGAAACTGAGCCAAACCTTTCCAGTGTACAGTGCATATATGGTATCTTGCCAGGGAGTTACACATGTTTGTGATCTGCATTGATGTGATTGTTGACTTGGAGATGAGATGTCTAACCACATCTGAAGCAGCCTTTTAGAGCGGAAAAGATGACAGTGAGGTGCCGGGTCAACTTACACTGCAAATACTTTACAAATGTCTCCACCTTGTGGATTCTAGCAGTATGTTTGACAGTACAGTCAACAGTAAACTCAATTTCAAACTGCTTACATTACAGTAAGTACAGTAAGCAGTACAGATGTATTGTCTGAAGTTTTGGGAGCAGAATAGGAGAATTGCATTTTCTAGAAGTAGTGCTAATGATTTCAGTTTTTTCAGCATAGAAGCTTTTGTTGCACAACTGTGTCGGGACAAATTAATAATTGTTGCACTTTTTGGGTTATATCCATATGGTTGAATGCACTTATTGTAATGCTTTGGATAATAGCATCAGCTAAATAAATGTGATGTAATGTTAAGTATGCAACATGTCTAAAAGTTATATATAGTATAATTCTAAGTGTTGGTGTTTCGACCCTGCAACAACATTGAACAATATCCAGTGCTGCCTGTCAAAGAATGATGTTTCTGTTTTGTGTACATTTAAAATAAATGTATCTGCCACAGCTAATAAATGACTGAAACACACCTGGGCTGACCTTCGACCTTTTCACAATTCTTTAAATTGTTGAAATATGTTTAATAAAATACCATTGTAATTAAAGTGTGTGCATGTAAATCTGTGTTGCTAATAGGTTTTTCTTTTTCTTCTAAGTTAATCCTGAAGCACATTTGAGGGCTCAGAATAGAACAGTGGATTCTGTATCTGCTTTAACCACTGGGAAGGTTCAAGGTTATTCTTTTTTCTCTTGATACGATACACGATGGCACCATGAAATGCAGCTGTAGCCCCCTCCACACTACAAATAAAGTATATCAGATATTCTCAGATTTTTTAAATTAGAATATAATTTAACAATAAAATAGAACAAAGTGTATAAAAGGTAGCACAAAAGAAAGAAGTAAAAGCATAGAACATAATCACACTCATTTACAACGGAGACGTACCAGATGGATGTTATACAAGTTGAAAACAGCACATACTGCTTGTGTTTTTTTATGTCATGGAGGACCCGGAGCCAGTCGTGTTTAAGGTTGTAAGAGGGCCAGAGAAAAGCAACAGGGGGCAGCAGACCCTTGATCTGAAGAGTGTACTGCTGCAGGGCAACCAGTCGGCTCCAAAATCATACATACTCTCAAAGTACAAAACAATGGGGGTGTAATACATTTAAATGCATTGCCAAAGCTTTGTAGTTAAAGTGTTTAATCTTTTGAGGACATAGGCTGTGCTGCAAAAGTAGGACAGCATACTGTGAGATTATGTAACAGACATTCAGTAATACGATCAGCTGCCAATTGTAAGACATGTGTTACCAGCCTATATGGAGAGGTGTTTAAAGCGGCAATCCTAAAGATTCCAGTCCCGGCTATTTTAGAATTTTTATTTGATGGAAAAGAAAGGAAATGTACATTCTGTACACAAGACATCTATTGCACTTCTATTACACTTCTGTCCATCCTGATAAGATCTGTCTCTCACAAGTCCCCCAACTTTATGGAGCTGCAAATCGCTAGAATATCCCTTTAAATGGGAGGACATATGAAAAGCGCCAATAGACAACCGGATTATCCCTTAAATGAAACCATCCAGTCAATACAGAATCACTCAAATGAACACATTTGAACGCATCCTTGTGTAACACAAGCTGAGGACAAGCATATGAAGGTGAAACTTACACACTATATATATGTGTCCCCAGGGTTGTGGCACTGAGCCAGGTGTACATGCATGTTACATTGCACAGTGAAGCATGTGCAATGATACGGGGTCACATAGTGTACTGCAAGCCTCTGGAATGCCAGCCCTTTATTCATTCAGATGCACTGATACACGTTTGATACGCTAAAATAAACATTCTCCCACTAGAGCATGTTGTGTTCACGTGTTTGGGTCCAGTTAATCCAATTGAAAGGGCCGTGACCTATTTACTGAGCAGCAGCACCTGCATGACTCACTTGTTAATACTGTGGTGAAGGACAAAAGACAAATCCCTAATCTCACTTTACCTACTGTTTTCTTTATAGAATATAGTTTACCAGTGTTTTTAGTCTGATAAAAAAATGGCGTGAAAATTAGACAATCATTCAACATCTGTGTATAACAACAGTATACAATTTTGTTTAATTTTTGTGTTTTTGCTCACTCGAAGCAAACCTAATTTGTTGCCGCACAACATCACTGCACTGCCCACCTTGGTGCAGCTTAATTTCACAATATTTTTTGCAAGGTTTAGTACTGACTCGCTGAAATTGAATCTGGGTCCTGGGTGGGCGGTGGCTCCTGTGTGACAGGGTGCAGATGGACCAGCGAGCCTGGTACAATTATAGCCTCCCCCTGACCACACGTGACATTGGTGGCTTGAATTTCAAGGGCGCAACCACCAACACTCACAACGGGTCTGCAACAAGTAAAACACTGCAGGCGTGCAACTGAAAGTTCAGCTTGCATAATATCCAATTCAGCCTATTTGTAAATCTGCATAATCATCATTTACACTGACTATAACAAAAAAAACGTCAGCCGTCAGCCAGCTATTTTTAGGCCTCAGGCCGTCTAAAGATAAAGTGTATTCTTATATTTGAAAACGCGTATTTATCTTGAAAATGAAACAAATATATCCCCTTAAATTTTATGTTGTTGATCTGCATCTCCAGGCTCCTTCTCCACAGACAGGTGTTGAATTTGATGTGGGAGAGAAGCTTTAAATATAGTCTGCCATAAAGGTGTTATTTATAGAGGCTCGCTATGTCATTGTGTGTGGTTGCTAAGCACATATTGCTACTCTTCCAGTCAGGTGTCATTCAAATGGTTTCATAATGAAAGAACTGCGGACAAGTATCACTAATCGTGGCAGAGATATTGAAATTATACATTTTCCCCACTTCGGACCAAAGTGACATAACATAACTTAACACTTAAGAGTGGGTCACGCAGCTGGCGCTTGACACTGTGCTATTCTGACGCAGGTCAGTGCAGTTGGTGTAGATTCCTCTCCAAGGGTCAAGCTGTGTATGTAGCGTCCTGCAAGGCTACTACATAATGCTCTCTTCCTCTGACATACACTGTGGGATGAGAAGACAGAAATTGTTGAAATTCAACATTCTAAGGTTTCAGGAAATACATTGGGCCTCATTCAGCAACATTATCCTAAAGTTCTCATTCTTTCTCTTAATTTTTCTGAGAAATAATAGGAGAGGTCAACACTAGATGCACCAAACGTATGCTGTTCACCACGTAAAATGTTCTCTTTCCTAAGAGAAGAGCAAAAATAAGAAAACATTGATGAATCCCATAAATCAATGGGTACAACAAAATAATAGAAAACTGTGGATACGTACAAAAATCTGTCATATCGGTTCCTGCATGAGGCCCAATGAGCGTAGTCACCACATAATTCCTCACAACAATCCCCAAAACTATTTATTACCCAATTTAGAATACTCTACGTCCCATATTTATTCTTAAATAAAAGCACAGTGTACCTGCCCTGTTGGAAATTGTTCAAACGTAATGAGGGTGCATCTCAAAAGCCAGATGGAGATTTCAGCATCTTGTGAAACTTGAGAAACTTCCTGGCCTGCATGAGCAGAAGGCACATCATCATGTCACTGCCCTGTTGCATAACTGTTCTAGACTGACATTATTCAATTGCTCTGGATGAAATTTCAGCCAGCAGCGAGCCACTCTGTCTGGTGTCATATTTGCAGGTGATACTACTTCCTTGTAGGGATTAAAAGTTAGCCAAACCTATTTCAAGTCTTACTTACATATATACCAGAAATGGTATACATGCAAAAACCCAGGCATCCCCACTATGCTGCAATTGTATGCACAAGACCAAACCATGTTGCATGCAATGGAGTAGAACATAAAACGGCAGAAGGGCTGAAGTATGTGGCAGGGTTGGGTTGGATATTTGGGAGGGAGGGGGCAGTGTTCTACGAGCTGGTTGTACAGACAGGGGTAGGGGTGGTAATGATACTTAGGACTGGAAGGAGCAGGTGTCAGCCAGTAAGCTGCCAGGCAGATATGGCTGGGACATCCCACAGACACAGTTGCTTGCTGGGATGCCCCCCCTTCTTGAACAGGGTCTGCAACAACACTCCTATGGATTCCCATTTGATTTGCTACCACACCGTTAGTTTTTCCACCAGTGGCGTCATCGCCAACTTTCTCTCCAGTGTAGATAGATTTGGATTTGATGAGTAACTTTTTGCTTTGGGTGCAGGCCAACTAGCGTGGTGTTCCTGAAAAAGCTGGGGGTGGCGTAGCTTGTCTGGAGAATTTATTCCCTGAGAACTAAACCTGGATCAAAGAGCAGCCATGTTAGAAAGCAGGAGCATTTTGTTTAGATTTTGATCACAGATTGCCATTAAACTAGACAAAAACAACAGCAAAAGTCCTGACAATACTGCAAGTTCCATGAAATAAATGAAGAACTTTCAATTCTTCTGGATAAAACTGTATTAAAGCAATGCGTGAAGCAGCTGCGGAGCAGATACATTGGTAAAATAGTGTGAGGCATTGTCAAAGAAGGGAGCTAATGAAGCTAATGTCAAAGATGGCATCATCTTTCATCCTCAACATTCCATCCAACGTCAGCCTGATAATTGCCATATCAATTAGAGCCGGAATGGGTCTTGGATGTTTTAACGTAGTTTCCTCTACAGGTCTGTGGGGGTCAACAAAACTGTACGGGGGAACACAGCAACAATACCTGCACAATCTAATGCTATCCAATACAATAGCCTTGTTTTCATTTTTGTTTAGTCTGTTAAAAAACGTATATTTAAATGACAGTAGTGATGTTATATTTCAAAATCGAATTTGAAGGTCATTACTTTTCCTTGACCTCGATGGAAGACGTCATGAGGTCAAGGAAAGATGTAAAGGAGAAGATGATTTCATAAGGAAAACACAACCACCGTGCTCAGAGCATAAAGCTTGTGTGTCGGCGGTGCTGCCGCAAGGAATTGTGGGACAGTATTATCTCCTGTCCTTCGGTAAAGAGTGGTCCAGTGTACCCGATTCTAAATCAGCATTGAAGCACTTTACCTTAGCATTTAAAGGATTCGACTAGCTCTTATCATGGCTGCCATTTAGATACTTCTGGGTCATTTCACTCTGTTAGGAACCTCCCTAAGCAAAAAAGACTGCTTGACCACAGTCCGCTTTCAGAAGAAACCAAGCAGAGTGGAGGCCGTAAGAAAGATCTTCTGGGCTTGGAGGCCGTTTAAGATGGTATGCTCAGTCCCTCTTTGTCCGATTAGTCTACTTTGTATACGTCAGTCTTCACTGATCCATGCACCCTCGATATCACATAACCTTGATTTATTTATCTCAGTAGCTCACTTAAACAACTTCCTCCTTTTTGTTTGAGCCTTGAGCCTGTTCATGACACAATTCACCCCAACAAGCTGCTGCTGTGGAATATAGTGTGTTCATACTTCCATAGTGCAAAACTGACCATTCTGCCCTCAGAGGGCCATTACTCATCAACAAGGAGGTATCCATCGACTGTTAATATTTAGGATTAACATACTCAGCATTCCTCCTGACCAGATATCAGTCAGAGACAACTCGGACTCCCACCTGCTGGATAAAATGTGTCTTTGGGCAGCATTTCTACATGGCAGCCATTTGATGAGAAGCACTCCAACTCTTTCTAACCTTCACGCCTCACACCAGGACCCCTGATCTCTTCAGTGGCAAACATCAACCCCCCCCCACACACACACACATCCCTCCTCCTCCCCTCTCAGATACTCGTCTGGTGCTATGTATGGTCCAAGGGTGGGTGAGGGGGGAGAGGTTGGGGGAGGAAGGTGAGGGGGTTGAGGGTACAGCTGCACTAGGCCACTCGTCTTGGATGACTGAGATGTAAATGCGTCCCTTTCATAAACTGTTCTGGTATCAGTACAGAGGATCTGGCCAATGAGGGCGCAGCAGGCACTAAAATGGACAAGCCAATGGCTGAGTATCGGCCGGGTATATAAACAGGGAGCAAAGACCTCCAGATTCGGGTGCCCCTATTTTGGCTGTGTTGAACAGGATCTGATCCCAAGGACTGTTACCTCTGTTCTTTTCTGCTGTGAAGGTAAAGAAATATCACAGACATTAGTTTTGTGGAGTTAAAGAAGGAGGGGAAGATATTGGGAGGCATGTGCGGATTCAGAGAACCATTCAAACATTTAAGAAAAAACAACTCTTTTTGGCTGTTTGTTCTTTTTGCCTGTGATGAAGGGTTTGATAACTTAAAGACTGATGAAATCATTCCGGGATGTTTGAATCCATATGATGCATTCTGGGTAAAAAAAAAAAACAGAGACCTAGTGGGTATCAGAGGTCATTGAATTTTGTAAGACTATTTCATTGTTATGAAATTAAAAAAGGCAAGAAAATGTTTCAGCCCAGCGGTAGCTGCATTAACTTGTATCACTAGAAATATTTACGCTCTCCGCAAATGGTTTTTTCATTTGGATGCTGATATATGTGGACATGTGCTTCACAGTGTGACACATGTAGACTGCCTGAACGCCCTGGATATCCAGTAATTGATTTTAGCTCTTTTTAAGATGACTTTTTGGGCTTTAACTTAACAAGACAATTACTCTTAGCAAAGTGATAACTGCATCTAAAATGTCACTTTCCTAAACCAATTTGGCTCATTACCAACACTTGGATTGCATTTCATGTGATGTCACAAGTGCGTCATTGTATGTGTCAGTCTTTTATTACTCATGTGATCAGCATTTCAAGGGAAGATGAAACTAATTACTGTACAAAAGTGTATAGACAATTAGAAGTAAACAGATCTTGCTGGAGCAGTGGACTGAGGGGAAGCATCAGCAGCTGGTCGGCCTTATGTCAGGAGTTCGGCATAGCGACAGCTTCAAGTGATGCCCTAAGGGTTTGAACCTGCAGGGTTTAGCTGTGATACACGTGTGATACAAAAAAAGTGAAGAGTGTTTTCAAACGGGACATGTTAGTGAAACACGACCAGCAAAGACTTCTAGGTGTCAAGGTGTGAATTGTAGAACTGGGGTTGTGCTTGTGCCAAGAGAATTACAATACTTCTTATATATGCTGGGGACATTTTTTAAGATACAGTATACGATCAGATGTGCTGATGCTAAAAATACCCAGGCAACATATGCTCCTCCCCCAACTCTATTTCAACTGGACATTCAAGCCGCTGAGAATCGAGTGACACTTGTTACCAGGATTCCTCTGCCGACACCAGTTATTGTCTGCAGCTGTCTCCCAGAAATTGCAACTAAAAGATGTTTTTTTGTGCAGAGTAGTATCCGATTAGGACAAATTGTTTCTTGATTAACCAGAGCCTCTGTTCAAGTTTGCTCATCCTGTGCCTCCCTCTCTTTGCAGTGTTAGAAAGCAATCATGCCTTTCGGAAACACCCACAACAACTTCAAACTCAACTACAAAGTTGAGGATGAGTTCCCCGACCTGGCCAAGCACAACAACCATATGGCCAAGGTCCTCACCATGGAGCTGTATGGCAAGATTAGGGACAGGCAGACACCCAGCGGCTACACCCTGGATGACGTCATCCAGACTGGTATCGACAACCCTGGTGAGACCCAAGAGACACGTCAATGTAGACCAAATCATCTAGACGCATAGCTCTACTGACTGAAATAAAACTTCATGTTACATTTCTTGGTAAAACCTGTGAATAATGACTAACTGTACAACAGCTCTCATCTTCCCTCCCATCATCTAATGGCTGCTTTTCCCATTCGCTCCCTGCCTTCAGGTCACCCCTTCATCATGACTGTTGGCTGTGTCGCTGGTGATGAGGAATCCTACGAGGTCTTCAAGGAGCTGTTGGACCCCGTCATCTCCGACCGTCATAATGGATACAAGCCCACTGACAAGCACAAGACCGACCTGAACTTCGAGAACCTGAAGGTGCAGTACTCCAGTTAGTTAAAGAGCAGGAAGCTGTTTGTTTCATTGAGTAAAGACTCTTAGGAACAGAAACCAAGCACTACACTGGATTAGTAAATTGATCTGAAAAAAATAGGAACTAACCACATGATGAATCCCAGGTGCCCTACATTTGTATACTTGTGTTTCGCTGTGTAATTGAGAATTCGTCATTAGGGTGGTGACGACCTGGACCCCAACTACGTTCTGTCTAGCCGCGTTCGTACTGGCCGCAGCATCAAGGGATTCACCCTGCCCCCCCACAACAGCCGTGGAGAGCGCAGAGCCATTGAGAAGCTGTCTGTTGAGGGTAAGTTATTAATAGTTTGAGTCCATAAGTTTTACAAAGGAATGGGCAATAAGCAAGGCCTTCCCCAAACAATCGGCTGTGCACAAGATTGTATCACTTTAGGATAAGAGGTCGAATCTACAGTGAACCGATAAGGAAACAGTCTTGTTCTGCTTGTCCATTTAGTGCAGAATCAGTAAAATGTTAAATGGCAGAAGACACTCTACAAAGCTTATCATTTCTCGTTGAGATCTATCGCAGTAGTAAAGTAGTACGTTCAGTCTCCTAATTGTATATGTGTCTCTCCAGCTCTGACCAGCCTGGATGGCGAGTTCAAGGGAAAGTACTACCCCCTAAAGTCCATGACTGACGCAGAGCAGGAGCAGCTGATCAATGATCACTTCCTGTTTGACAAGCCTGTCTCTCCCCTGCTGACCTGTGCCGGCATGGCCCGTGACTGGCCCGATGGCAGAGGCATCATGTGAGTACCACCAATCACTGTCAGCGGGCCAGCTGTGGAAACACCTTTCAAAACTCATCATGTGACGGCGTCACCTGTGTGTTTAATGCTGTATGCTGATCCTTTGCATCCATCTCCGTCCAGGCACAACGACAACAAGACCTTCCTGGTCTGGGTGAACGAGGAGGACCACCTGCGTGTCATCTCAATGCAGCAGGGCGGCAACATGAGGGAGGTCTTCAAACGTTTCTGCGTTGGCCTGCAGAAGGTACACATAAATAAAACAAGTTCAAAAATCAAGATTAAAAAGAAGTGTAGATCACTGCTGGATGCAACTCTGACTCTTCTTTTTTTTCTTCTCCCCAGATTGAGGAGATCTTCAAGAAGCACAACCACGGCTTCATGTGGAATGAGCATCTTGGCTACATCCTGACCTGCCCCTCCAACCTGGGTACCGGCCTGCGTGGTGGTGTTCACGTCAAGCTGCCCAAGCTGAGCACACACGCCAAGTTTGATGAGATCCTCACCAGGCTGCGTCTGCAGAAGCGTGGAACAGGTACTAATTTATCCACCCTTTAGCTTGTACCCCTGGCAGGTCCGTTAAGATCTCTACTGAGATTCTACAGCACTCTAAACTCAAAAGGTGTGATGTGTAATCCGAACATCATCCCTTGACCTTTCTTCCTCCTTAGGTGGTGTGGACACTGCCTCCGTGGGAGGTGTGTTCGACATCTCCAATGCCGACCGTCTGGGCTCCTCTGAGGTGGCACAGGTCCAGCTGGTGGTTGACGGTGTCAAGCTCATGGTCGAGATGGAGAAGAAGTTGGAGAAGGGAGAGGCCATCGACAGCATGATCCCCGCACAGAAGTAAAGCGGAACAATCGTGTGTTTATCTCCAGACCATTCATGTGCAATCGAGCCAGCTGACGGGGGTGCAGAGGAAACAGGCGCTCACAAAGAGACTCTTGACTCTGCTCACCTCTTTTTCCTTTCTTCTTTCGCTCTTTTTTTCACGTTCTCCTGTGTTGGTTGGTAACATCCTGGGATCAGCCTCCACTGAGCCGGGCTCGCCTGGCATCACCTACTTTTTGTTATAAAAAGTAATGATTATTGAAGCTATTCATATTGCTCAATAAAAAATGGTACCCCATGAAACAACGAAATTAATCATTATGATCTTTTGTGACACAGCATGAGAAATAACAATTCACAAAGTGTTGTCTTCACCAATCAATACTCACCTTGTCAGATGATCCGAAGCCATTGATAAATATTCAGATTGTGTGTCGCAACTACGACAACAAGACTCCAAAAATGAAAGAAAAGAAAATGCCAACATCAGTGAATTTTATTAATCTTCAGCTCCGTGTTCTCCTTATAAACCACAACCACTCCATCTCAGTTTACAGTTTGTTTCTGAGGGGAGGAATCAAACAGTAGAGCAGTGTAAAATTACTCATACAGGTCAAACTGTGTGTGTTCTTCAGTCCCTTTTGCATATAACATCCAGCTGTTTCCAAAAATCTGATTGGAAATGACAGTGCATGTTAAATACTGAGCCCCCTGGCATCCTAATACTGTACCATCTAAAACCAGACCAGTCATACGCCATCTCTGAGCAGGTGCAAACACGTTTACTCAACAAGCAGGTCAACAAAATCTTTTCAAGATTTTTTCACAGTAGATTCCACCTCAAGACAATGTTCATCCACCTTATACTAAGAGTGAGTTGCTTTACACCAAGTTATTTGCTTTTTCGCCCGTCTCACCTTGTTAATTGCCACTGAAAGGCTTCGCAAACAACCTGACTCACGTTTGCCATCGGGAGACAGTGATGTGACATTTCTATGGCTTGAATGCAACCCAGGGCTTTCGACATGTTGGGGACTTATTGTAAATTCAAGTTAAAGTAGAACCAAACCGAACAGTTGATTCCAAATGTAAGTGTCCTTGCTGGATCTATAACTGAACATTTCTCTTACACACTGTGTACGTTGTGGTACATTTCATGGCATGTCTGCACACTTGGGAGTGTACTGAAACTATCCTTTAGCAAACAAGTTGGAGTGAAGTCACTGTGTTTCACCCAAGCCGCCCTGTTTGTCTTTTTGTGAATGGGGGAAGGACTTGGCGCTACATTTAGCACCGTTTCTTTGTACCAATTCATGTCTAAAATGATCGTGTCTGCATTTCACAAAGCTTCCAATCCTAGGTGTGCATCATGTTAAATTTTTTCCCCTAAAACCCAAACTCTGAAGTCATGCAGGATTGCAGGTTGGTTTTGTTCCCCATTGTCACTGACAGAATCTGCTTTAAACTAGAAGTACTTTCCTTGCTCTAGCTATAAATAAACCTTGAGCTCTAAGATATATACTATATTCATATATTTTATATACAGCCATCAACTGACTGATATAAATCCTGTTTTTTTAAAATGATATTATTCTAAAAAATAAATAAAGTACCTGTGCAAATATCCACAAATTGAAGTGTTTCACATTTAAGACATTGGCGCCCTCCAGTGGCTAGTTCTGGGCATTACCTGTACAGGTACACTGGAAGGAACTGATTCAAGTCAAAGCAAAGTGCATTGAGGTCTATATTACCTAATGCTAATATACACCACAATGAGAAACGTCCAGGGAGAGGACAAGGACAGACTCCTGGTGTCCACATTGGTGTCTGCTTCTCACCCCGAGGAGGAGAACGGGCCCCCCCCCCCCCCCCGACGGGTTCCGTGAAAACAGCACACGCCAAACATGACTGAGAAGATGTCATACATGGGTCTACAATGCAAGAGTTTTGATGATGGCTGAATGTCGCCCCGCGAGAGAGCAGGGTCTCAAACGATGAGCTGAGGAAAGCCAAACGCTCGTTGTGACGTTAGAAAAGAGGCGGTCGTACGTGCGAAGGTGGTGGACAGGGGTCAGCTCCCTGGTGGATGTAGGGAGTTTATGATGGGTGGGGAGGGGGAAGGAAATGGGGCTGGGGCGTTTTGGGGTCACCATGAGCAAAGCCACAACTGAGAGATAGTATTAACAGTAAATCAGCAGCCAAACAACATGATCTCTGTAGCCTACGTAAATATCACAGTACGTCACTAGAAACAGGGAGGGAGAATAGAAAGCCTTCTCGTTTTTTTCTTCACATTAAATATGCACTATATGAAGGCGCCGGGGGTTGTTTCGCTTTAAAGGCAACTGGACTAACAAGAAGAAAACATTGTGCACAACTGCCCCCGTCGTGCCTTTCCGGATTCGGAACACTCCCCTCTGAACCCTGCAGCCCACAAAGTCACCGACAATGGACGTGCCAGTTCATAGACTGTGCCACAAAACGGGAGAGGGTGGAGATTTAGAGGTGCGTGTAAAGGTGAGTGTGTAACTGAGATTTCGCTGCTCGGCCTGATCCGCTTTTGGTGCTTCCCATCAACGCACTGAGATGATGGCACATGGCACAGAAGAGAACCCAGAGAATTGCATTGCACTGGAAATGAAACCAGAGCACCACTGTTACTTTGCAGCGGGACGACTGCGAGATTTCAAGGGGCAAGGTTTGCGTTCGTCGCTCTCACGCCACCTGACCAAACAGTTGAGGGAGTATAGGTGGAAAGGTATTCTCAAGTGTGTCTCTGCTTGTCGCGTTTTCAGTACGATGCTTTTTTTAAGAAAGGTAAAGGGATGAAACGGGGTGGGACGTTGGGAAAATCGAAATGCTTTGAAACAAGTTTTACTGACAATGACCAGAGCTGAATCCAGCCAACCAGAGGGCAGCATGTGTGCATGTGGTCTTTCCAGGCCTCTCTATTCATTCTTTTATAGAGGCAGCCATAGAAAAAGTGTTTCTTGACAACAATGGTATGAGTTATATAACTCTATAATATTATACCAAATCAGTTGTGTTGATTGGTGCATGGCGTTACTGCACCAACATGTTTTTCTTCATCTTTGTTGTGCAAACAACGTGGGGATTGTTTCTCAACAAACATTATCTACATGTTTTAAAGTCCCATGCAGAGAAAACTAATGTGATTGAGAGGCGACAACTCTGTCGGATCAAGAAGCGGAAGATGTCACTGGCTTTTTGTATTCCAGGTCGGCCTCTGATTGGCTGTTTCAAAGGCCTGTCAACCCCGCTCCCACTGACCTTAATCCAGTGCGGTCGTCACTGCTGCATGTACATGAATCAAAGCAGCGCAAAACTCTGTGACTGCCGGTCTGATCACTGAGTTGGACCATATCCACGTTTGTGCATGTTATTGTCCCCAGGTGACAAAAAGTCAGCAGATAATCGGTTGGTCGGGGGGGTGTATACGTAAAAGGTGACATATAAAAAGAACAATTTTTAAAAAAAGGACTGGCTGATAAATGACGTCCGGTACACAAGAGATGATGTTTTTCTGTAGTGGTGAAAGTGACAGTGGAAAACAATGATCAGAGCAATAAATAACAAAATAAAGAGTCATTATGGCTAGAGTAGCGATACAAAATATTCAACTAGATTCCATCTGATCCAGGTCCAGTGGGTGCAGTTGCTCACTGAAGAAGTTGGCTGAGCTGGGTGGGGTGATTAGGTGGATGGGGTGCCTCAGTCTGTATAACTTTACGGGTAAGGTGTGCGCGTATGTGTGTGTGTGTGTGTTTGGGGGGGTAGTCATGAAAGAGACAGAAGGTGTAGTCTTTTCTCTCGGGTCCAGCCCCTCGCCCCTTCTCTGCTATTTTTTTTCTTCAATTTTCCCACCAACACCTCCCTGTGCGCACACACATCCAACACTCGCTCACACAACAACAAGCACTCATACGCAAACACGTCCCTCTGTTCAAAGTTCAAGGTCCTTAGAGATTTGGGTGGCAATGTCTCGAAAAGCTAGCGGCGTCCCCCAGAGTCGCGTGTAGCGCACCCCGTTAGAAGTCTCGGAGGTGCCCGTGGAAAGGTGACACACCTCGGCCTCGAAAGCCACGCGGCCCCCTGCCACGCCGTGGGTGCAGGAGAGCAGAAAGGGGCCGGCATGGTGGACCTGGCAGCCACATCCGAGCGCCGCCTCCCGCAGGGCCAGAACCACCTCCGCAGGGTCCCTCCGCCCACCGCCTCTCAGATCCCAGCCACGTCCGACGGCCCGGGGCTCGGACGCTTTTTGATACCAAGGTAGATGGCAACTAGGGAGGTGGTGGGGGTCATCAGAAAAATGTTTAGGCATTGAAACGTGCTTGCTTTCTACTGGTCTCATGAAAAAAAAAACAAAGATATATTTTCTAAGTGCTGTCCTGCAGCTGGAACAAGAGCACTGACCTTGTGACCGCAAATCTCCTGATTCCCTCAGATTCATTTGTGACCCTGTGGGACAAACAGGCAGAGTGAGAGGTAATCCACCCGAGCACAACGAGCCTTCAGAGCAATCCACAACTCTCAGATGAGATGGCAGGCAGTAGTGGATATTAGGGCTGCACCATTAAGGCCAAAATGACAATCACGATTATTTTTTATCAATATCGTGATCACGATTTATCATCGCGATTATTAAACCTGATCGCGATTTGGATTAATAGTGCAGCCCTACTGGGTATCGTACGGTGAGAGGTTTCCGTTTTCTCACAAATTTCAAAGCATGCAGATATGAATCCAGTCATTTGACTCTCAGTCACCTCTGTTCATGGCACTACGCATTCCAATCCATTCTCACAAACACGTGGAGTAACATGTAATGACTTTCAACCCATCAACCACAAAAACATAAAACACAATTTCTAAGGGTACAATTACACCCAGGATCATAAAAGACTGTCTGTGCTGACAATGACACTGATAACAACGGAAAGTTAAGAAACAAGAATCAAATGAATCTTCCTTGACTGCAACCATGCTTGGAACCAAGAGTGTGGGACCATGACAGTATGAAGATGGCTAACAGTCATGCAGACAAGCAAGAAGTCACAGATAGAGGTGTGAAGAAGTCAGGCGGACATATGGGGCAGCACAGGCAGACAAGAAAGAAGCCAGAGACATGGGAACTTACTAACTGTTTTTGATCCTTGTGGAAGAGTACAACCCGAGACTGATTTGTTTGAGCCCTGGCGCTTGGACGGGTCAAGATTGACCCTGATGCCATGACAGTGGGGGGAAAGCACAACGAGATAAAGAGGGAAGAGCAGGGGGTGGGGGTGGGGGAATAAGAGAGAATATAATTGAATAACAGGAGAGCAAGTGGTGGAAAAGAAGCGCAGCGCACGAGCCGATTGGCGAGGATAAAGCTGAGGTTTGATAAGATTAGACATGTGTGATTATGACGACTGGGAGGGAGAGGGAAGCGGAGGATAATCCAGGGCCACAGAAGGGCTTGCCAAAAGGCCGGGTGAGTACAATGTTCTGATAAGCGTGGATCCATATCCAGGGCTGTGCTCAAGCTGAAAGGAAGAACTTCACAACAACGCTACATCATTTCATACTGTATGTTTGATATTCTTGGTTTGTGATATATTGTCTTCTTAAGACATATTTTACATTTTAGCAGCTGAAACAGATCCTGATACCTGGTGACATCTTTATCTATCTATTCTCTTTGATTCAAAATAAATCTTGGCATTAGAAGTTTCCATGGTGTATTATAAACTGTTTAGAGCTAGTGTTTGGAAGTAGGTCATCATTCTCTTTCTAATATCTATTTTATATTGCTTTGGAATTCTCTTTCAAACAACTGGATTCACTCTAGTTTCTCACCAAACGCTACATTTTACAAGATTATATATGAACATATTGTGATGGCCTTCGCTTTACTATTATTCCTCATGAATAGAGCTTGCATACAACAACCATGAAACTCAATGCAACCTCAGTATGTTAGCTGTTAACTCTATTATTATCGGTAACAGGTACTTGTTTTGTTTCCTTTAAAGAGGGCCAGGCTAGCTGTTTCCACATGCTTCCAGTCTTTATGGTAAGCTATGCTAACAGTCTCCTGGCTGTAGCTTCATATCTAATGCTCAGACTCTAAACGTGGGATCAATCCTGTGATACGTGACAAGCGGCATGCATCTACCTGCGAGTGAGTTTGGAGGTCAGCTTGGTGAAGAGGTTGGAGGTTGCCCTGGTGCGGGCGTGGGGCAGGGGGTTGGTGTCATGGTGGGACAAGGTGGGTGAGGTGGGTGGGGCTGAGTAGACCGGGGGCCCGCGGTCCCTCAGCTGTCCCCCGTGAAAGGTGCTGCGGATGGTGGAGCCTCGGGTCAGGCGGCACCGGTCCGAGGACGAGGAGGAGGCGGCAGCTCCGGCGCCAGAAATGCTGAGCGTGGAGGGAGACGCTTGTGGCAAGCGGTGGCCCAATGAGCTGCAGAGTAGAAAAAGGAATGATTGTGTCTTAAGCTAGCCCAGGCATTGTCTCCTAACAGCAGAACAACTGAGGGAGACAACTGCTACCTTTTTAAGTAAAGATTTTCAGGCAAAATGACTGGAGCATTAATCTTACACTCTTACCTTTTTAAGTCAATGTATGATTTGATGTTATTGCTTAACGGATCCATATGATGATGTGGTGATATGGCTCCACCAAATAGTTACCTGCTTAATCTGCTTATTGAAGATCTGTACTGGTAAATATTCAAACCTCCCACACACAAGTGGTACCTGTTGTCTTTGCCGTTCTGCAGAAGAGAGTGTCGGTCAGCGCCCGAGCGGTCAGTGCAGACATATGTGTTCCTGCGTGTCATGGCGCTTCCAGGGATGTTATTCTACAGAGAGGAGAAAAAGGTAAGAGGCAGGATATTAAGTCACTTTGATATTCAGTGGAGCCAATTCCACTACACACTGTTACAGTATCACATTCAGTACACACACAAAAAAGTGACACTAGCAGCAAACTGTCATTTTCTATGTTAAAGTGTGTTTTCTACTTCCATGTATACGCCTCATGTCTATATGAGTTAAGCTGCTCTCAAAACATGCAACATAACTAAACACTGTTGATGAAATGAATAGTTAATAGAACTGGAGCCTTTAACAATGGGAAAATGTAAGTTTGAATTTCATGATTTTGTTGTGTATTTACAGTAATGCGAGGAAGTCCAAATTAGTGTAAAGGTAGGTCTGAAGCGTCGATGATGAAAAGTGAGTAAATAATTGACAAAAAGGGCCATAACAGCACACTGAGCCATGTCGTGTCAGGTTGTTCATGCAATGGGAGGAGGTCCAGGTGGGAATAAAGCATCAGTGATAAAAAAAAATCTAAAAGCTCTCTTGGATATTTGTAATGACTTTTGAGACGCTACCCTAACTTCAGCTCTGCAGTTTCCCTTCTTCAGTGCAGCCTTAAACATCAGATCATGAGGTGAAAATGACAGCTGTGTCACATCAGTCAAGCTTTATCCCGCACTCCACAATTAATCTCGTGAAAACTGAATTTCTGAACATCATATGTTTTTTGTTTACATTTTGGCAAACTATTGCTGCTTTGGCAACAGCTTCTGTTCACACTGTACTGATAACAATCCCCTGGATTATTTCTGTACAAAAGAAAAAGTCTTAATGTGACGACTATGGGCCTAGATCGCAAATTAGAAGCACTGCCTTTTTTTATGATTTATAAATCATACTTTTTTCTTCTCTCTGCTTCTTGAGGAGGACATCTGTCACTTACTGTGGTGGCCGTCATGTCTTTGCGGCGGTCTGGGATCTCAGACTTGTTGGGGTTGTTGGCACTGCTGACCATTGGGCTGGAGGGAGGGAGGCTGTGGCTCCCCATCACGCTGCAACTGGTCTTACGTGAAGGCATTCGTCCCTCCCGCAGCTCACGCTCGCCCGTGCTAGTGGGGCTCCGTTTGGGGTGCATGACGGGCATGGAGGGCCCGCCTTTGTTGTGGAGGACAGCAGAGCACAGACACACAGAGACTCGTATAAGGAATATTCTGCAAATACACTCTAGTGGGTTATGAAAGGTATGTCCCCTCCATACAAACAGTCAAAGCCCTGCACTAGAAAAAGGGTTCCAAACGGGTTCTCGGAAGCAGCTCCTGGCTGGGTTCGAGATGAAACCTTTAGAATATAAAAGGGTTCTCGTTAGCAACCCCTGCATGGGTTCCAGATTAAACCATTGCAATATAAAAGGGTTCGCTGTAGCACCTCCTGAGGGGGATCTAGATGAAACCTTTGGAATATGAAATATGAGGGTGGAAAGGCTCTGGATAGAGCCTCCAGAGAGTGTTCTTGGCGGAACCATTACACCATAGAAGGGTTTTCCGAAGAACCTCTCCCAGGGGTTTCTGGGTAGAACCCTCTGAATGGGTTCCAGGTGGAACCTTTATAAAAGGTTAGAGAAGTTAGAGAAGAGACTCACAGAAGTCGCTGTGTCGTCGCTGCCTGTGGTAGGTGGAGGCACTGCGCTGGGTCTTGCTATGTGAGGAGGAGGTGGATGACGAAGAGGAGCCGGTGGCTGAGGAGTGCTTGTTGGTCCCATTGGTGATGGGACTGGGTCGTACCCTTGCCAGGGACAGGCTACTAGCTGTCCGAGCCTCACTGCCCTCCTATAACGACACAGTGATATTAGTGTTTGAGAACAGATATTTCTTTTTCCCCTTCCATGCTTTATTTCCAAAATGTTCTTATAAGCAGCTAACACAGTAGAACAAAGCTGACAACATGGAAAGAAAGAGTGGAGATACATTCCAGATATTGTGGTTTATTTTATTTAAGGCTGTTTGTTTTCAGATGACATTTAACACATGCATTTAAAAAGTTGAAAAATATATGTCAATATTTGCCAAGTAAGGAATTCAAAAGTACTAAGTATTATAGTTTTCTATGTGCTACTGGTGATCAAGGAAAAGGTCAACCTGGTATTTCATTCATTGTCAATTGCTCTGGTTAGCATGTCAGCCAAATACTTTATATGCAAAAATAAATATTGGGTAGATCTATATAACTCACATCGCCTTTACGGCCCAGTAGTAAGTAGGTGGCGGTGACTTCATTGTATTTCTGATTGAGCAGAGCATCCTTGATTTCCTCTGAAGTGAAGCCCATCCCCACCATTACCTCTGAGGAACACAAAACATCACATATGAAAGGCAAGAGAAGAGACAGTTATAGAAAACATCGACCAGGTTTCTTATGGTCTCTTAGCAGTAACAGCGGTCCAGCTGACTCACCTATGCGAGCCGGATCGCTGAAGTCTTCAACAGGTTCTATGTGGGGCTTCAGGTCATCAGTCTCGTAACCTGAATTTATCCACTTGTCCTTCATGACTTGCTGTCGAAACAGAGACACAGAAAAGCTTCAGTTGCGTTTGAATTTCCCGCAACACTAATTTGTGCCTCATGTGCTTGTGTGTACTTACGTCGAGGGTGCAGCGTTTGGTGGGGTTGAGCACCAGGAATCGGCGAAGGATCCCCTCACAGTCTGTGGACATGTAGAAGGGCACGCGGTACTTTCCTCTCAGCACGCGCTCCCTCAGCTCCTGTTGGCCAGATCCATCACATGTTAGACATACAGCTCTTCAAATTCCAACTCTGCAACCAGACCAGGCGGCAACCTCCATTTCTGAAGCCATTGCGGAAGTGTCTTAAATTTGCATTCTCTCTACTGGCCAGCAGGGGGCAACTCCTCCGGTTGCAAAAATAAGTCAGATTGTATGTCTATGAGAAAATGACTCTACTTCTCTCTTGATTTATTACCTCAGTAAACATTGTAAACATGAGTTTATGGTCTCAATCTCTAGTTTCAAGTCTTCTTCAACACAACATGAAGTTCATTTAGTAAATGATGGCCCATTTAGAGTCAAACAGACCATAAAGTAGGGTATGCTTTAGGGCGGGGCTTACTGTGATTGACAGGTAACGGCCGCTACCAGAACCGTATACAACGTCTCTACGTCACTCCTCCACTTTCCAAATATGGTAACTTCCATTCATTGGTTGCGAAAAAAACAACATGGCAACGGCCGTAATCCAAGATGGCGACGAACTCAAGGTTTCAAAATGTCAGTCCACAAACCAATGGGTGATGTCACGACGACTATGTCCACTACTTATCTACAGTCTATGAACCAGATGCACATATGCCATTTTTTACATCAATATGGTAAGAAGAGTACTTTTGTATTGGGCATTATGAGAGTGACAGCATGATGCATCACAACACATTCTGCACATTCTTTCACTCGGACGAGGAAATTCTGACTCCCCCACTCATAACCACCACTTTGGTTTATGTTGAACTTTTAAATTACAACATATCTAAAACAATTAAGACCAGTCAGACCAGTCAGATGTGTCTGTTGCATAAAAGTCCCCAGGTCCCTCACTGCATGCAGTACTGTACGCTGGGATGCGGTCGGATATGAGATGGGTAAAACACACATTTGTCTCCATCCTCTGGTCTCGAGCTCTAGGGGGCCACTCATTGCCATCTGCTGGATTTTGGATAGAAATACTATATTTTTTAGGTGTTGTTATTTAGCAGCGGGTTCTATTACACAATAACATTACAGAAGATAAAGACAGAGAATAATGCTTTCACACTACTCATCATTAATCATGCCTACTTCAGTGGATCATAACATATCACCTATGGAATTAATCTGCAGATGCTCAAACTTTTATGTGGATGAGCCACGACAAAGGCCGAAAAAGGCCTGCAACAGACAAGGTAAGGCTTGTTTTATCTTTATCTGATTGTTGATCACTTGCGGCCCACTACCTTAACATTTTAGGCTGATGGGTCCAGTAGTACGCAAGATTATGCGTGGACAGACAAGATACACACATACACTTGGGCTGTCCTCGACAAAGGAAATTCTTCGTTGACTTACACTCTTATGATTTTGTCGACTAAACGATTAGTCAAATTAACAGATCTGTAAAAATGAGTATCTCCACAAAGAATCACACAAAAGCAACACTTTAAATCTTGTGTTTACCAGAGACGTGTTCGTGATTTTCTTGGAAATAAGTCAATCAGAAAGAAAAAAGCATAAAATATGACTACCGGACTAAAGAAATCTTTGTCAACTATAAGACCAAAACGACCAATAAGTTGACTAAGAGGGGGCAGCCCTAACACTCACACACGCACACACACACACACAACCTAACACATGATCTCCCCACAGTCTTACATCTGGCGGAGATCATAACATTTAAAGTAAACCAAACCACTCAGCCCTAAATGATGATAAAAATACACACTTCAAACCACATGGGTTTTATACAGCCCAATAAAATGGTTCCACAGTGTGAAAATAGCAAATATTCATATATATATATAGAGAAGAAACAGGCATCTAGTCATCTTGACTAAATCAGGTGGCTGTCGGAAACATTTCAATACATGTGAAGCCATTACTGTGACTGTAACCCCCTGAGGGAAACTCAAGGCCCTAGATGTAACCAGACAGACAGACAGTCCCTCTCTCCCATCCACTCGCCTTCAGGTTCTGCCCATCAAAGGGCAGCGAGCCGCTGACCAGCGTGTAGAGGATGACTCCGAGACTCCAGACGTCCACCTCGGGCCCGTCATACTTCTTGCCCTGGAAAAGCTCGGGGGCGGCGTAGGGCGGCGAGCCGCAGAACGTGTCCAGCTTGTTGCCCAGCGTGAACTCGTTGCTGAAGCCAAAGTCGGCGATCTTGATGTTGGCGTCGGCGTCCAGCAGAAGGTTCTCCGCCTGAGTCGCACATATATTCATGTAGAAGAGGAGGGGGGGGGGAGAAAAAAAAAGAACAGCAAATGAGAGACTGATGGGGGGTGGAGCTTGCGTGTTGTCCAACAACATGGTTACTGTACATGACTCACAGTGTTTCTATGTCACTGTGTATGTTTAGGGCTGTAATAGTCTATTAGAACAGGCCCTGGCTACCTCCTACCCTTCCCAGCATCTCTATTCACCAGCGCCTCACCGTGCGATTAAGATGGTAAAGGGCCCTTTTCACAGACACAGATTAAGACTAGTCACAGATTATAACTTTCTGTTCAGTGTAATCTGTCAGTGGAAGAAATGCCCCAGCCTTGGAAAAGCCCTAATTCACCAGCTCTCTGAAAATCAGCCCCCAAAACATCTTCAGAGCCTCTCACCTTCAAATCTCTGTGGACAATGTTCTTCGTGTGGCAGTAGTGGACAGCGGAGACAATCTGTGAACATGAGACGGACAAAACTGAAGTGCTGACGACTGAACGTGAGGATCGGTACAATGCGGGCATCCAAGAGGCAATGTATTCATACCTGTCGAAATTTGGCTCTGGCTTCAACCTCCTTCATTCTCCCATGAGACACGAGGTAGTCGAACACTTCACCTGTGAGCAACAGAGACAGATCAGTCAGCTGATGAAGCCAGAAGCATTATAGCTATTTGATTACATATTGCTGGTGCACGCAATCAATTCAGTTATTAATATTCATAAGGTATAAGTGCTGTCAAAGTGTCGACTTTATTGTCTGCAAGGGGAAGTTTGTCCTGTAGCCACGGGAAAACAGAGAATGACACAGAATTAGAAAAAGAGTTTGACATTTTGGGAAATATGCTTATTCGCTTACAGAAGAAGATCACAAACAATAAAACACACCCTTGCTTATCAAATACACTCAGGGGTTATGCGGATAATATGGCTAACGGCTAATACGGCTAAATAGCTAATATTAGCTAATGTTCGCAAAGTTTTAAGGGGCCATCCTGCTACGTTGATTTGAATGGGAATGTCCGTCCTACTACTATTCTATTTCTATGGTGTATGCACTACTGTTCAACAGACATACAGTATATCATTTTTCAGCTTATACCAATTTAGCATCGGCATTACATTTAGATAGATTCACATTTTTTCCATTGCTGCCACATAAGCTTTCGCTGATGACAGGAAATATTAGATAGAAACACAACTTCTCAATGACTGACAAGCTTTTCTGAATGACAAAGAAAAAGAAGAATGCCTGGCTTAGAGACTAGGAAGATGACTAAGGTGGGGTAGGTGGGGTTGATATTTATATTTCACTTCATAAACTAAGATGATCGCCTCGTGGCTGTATGCGCCTGCAAACCAATCATGTTGCAGTTTACGTCCATGTCTGTCCAAAATGTCATTAGTTCATCAACTGATCCTATTAATCTAAAAATACAATTTTATATTTCCTGTGTGTTTTTATGCAAATCACCACTATAGATGATGATAATAAATATTTGAGTTCATTGGTTATAGGCCTATTAGAAATGGACTGAAGTAAGATGAACCGAGTGAAAACTATATATTTTAAGATAAAACAGATGTTGACAAACTGCATAATTTGCAAATGGAAAAAGATAATAAATCGCAATATATCGCAATGTCAGCATATAGCAATATCGCAATAATATGGTATCGTGACCTATGTATCTTGATAATATCTTATTGTGGGCCTTCTGCTGATTCCTACCCCTAAATAAAACGATAAAAGGCCCTTTCCTCATGTCCCTTTCAAAACATAAAACTACTTATCCCCACTCCTTTTCTGACCCCCGCCACCCATCCACCATCATTTTTGTAGAGTCTCTTAGATGTTGTTTAATTACCACTGTGTTTGAGTGGCTGCGAGATGATTTGGATTAACAGAGTGAACCGTTGTTGGATGTCATATTATTCATGCTTGGAAATACTGTTTATGAAGATAGATAGTTCATTTTAGCCATTCAGTCACCACTGCAACTCCCTGATACATGCTTATGGTCTTTTTTATCCTCAACCTAAAGCACTTTGGGCTTGACAGAAAGCCACATTTGAAACAGAGTCTGTGACATTCTCCAAGGTCACAGTAAGCAAACGATACGGTTCGGGCCAGAACACAGAAAAACAGGATTGGTGACCGACACAAATAGAACCATAAAAGAGACTAAAGGAAGCCAGAAGAGGAAAAAAAGGAGAGCAACATTCGATACGATGTGCTACCATCACTCCTGAAACTGTGTCTAAAGTCAGTTTAAACAGCTTGGAGGCTGCTCAGTTATTTATGTTGTGGTTCCATACTCTGGCTGTTGAACTGTACAACACCTATTGGGTGGTAGTCAACAGTCATCTGATGGTGACTACATGATCCCACTATGTCAGAGTGCTGGAGCATCACGTGTTTGGATGAGTAAAGAGTCAAATAAAGTAAATAAATAACTAGTAATCTGGTGAATGCATAGATGCATATAGCTCAAAAAACTAATTCAACACTACATTGTTTAAAAGAGTGGGAAAAGACACAACAATGGTGAAATAATTTCACTTGATTTTGACTTGTTTAAATACAAACGATATTAACACTACTGAAACAGTATTTATCATTATTAACAGTACCAGCTCTCATATTTTTCAATTCCCCTCAACTGCAGAGGGAACAAAGCTGTGTATCTTAAAGAAATACTGACACATGTTTGACAAACATGCTCCCTCTTAACTTGACTGTAAATGTAAGTCTACAGCCAGCAGACCGTTAGTTAGCTTGGCATAAAGCCTGGTTTCTTTTTTGCTCTAGCGTTACATTATATCTTGCAAACGGACATCATTCTTCTCATCGAACTCTCAACAAAAAGGCAAATAAGCTTATTTCCCAAAATGTCAAACTATTCCTGGAAATTGTATTTGAGATATGGACGAAAAAAAACAAAAAACTCAAATGTACCCGTGTTGTTACAATTTTGCCCGTTAGCCATTGTGTTTCACCATTCATCCAAATGGAGGAAGTAAAGTGGAAAATGATCCAATCATGGTCACACACACACACACATGAGAATTCCCTGTTGGGAGCATGGACAAGCCGTGGTTCCACCAAACCTGTGACTTTCTGCATCATTTGCACACATAGTATTTCCCGGACGTGACAGCGGATATACCCACCTCCACTGGCGTATTCCATGATTAGGTAAAGGGTCTTATCAGTCTCAATCACCTCGAACAGCTGCACTGTGACCCAAAACAGAATCAGATTAAAATCAAATAGATATCAACAAATCCTGCTCCCATCATAAATAAACAGCGCAGACGTGTCTGCCTGTCTTAACACCAATGACCTCACCATAATGCTGTGGGTTTTTCTTTTTTAATTATCCATATGGCATTTCAGCTTTACGCAATCCAACCTGGTGACCTCCATATGAGGCGTGAGATGACGCTCGCTACGATCAACGAACGCTCTGAAGCTTAATCAAAGCATTACACTTCTGTCTGGGCACACACACACACACACAAACACGCGGAAGCAAAACACACACACACGCAGGGACCCAGCACTCAGACACACAAACACATTGAGATGCATGTATGCGCCTTACCTATGTTAGGGTGATTTAAGCCTTTCATTATTCGTACCTCCCGAAAGAGCTGGGAAGAAAAAAACAGAATTTTAATGCCTTGATGATATTAGACACAGATAGACCTTGTGTTGCAGACGCTGCATTTGAGTGTTCTCAATCTGGGCTTTAGAGTGCAGCAACGAGGGACAAGAAATGCATTGACATTGTAGAGAACCGTGTATGTTCTTTGACTTTCCTGGCTGGATACCCATGTCTTTAGGTCCCAGGACAGACTGACATGTAAAAATGAGTCGGCATTTTATTATTTTTCTCATTTTAATAGGGCGGTCGTTAATTTCAACAGCTGAAAAACATTTGTGATGATCCCTATTTTTGTTCTTCTTGTAAACATACAATTTTAAATCTCTCTCATTTTCTGGAGCGTCACCAAAATGTTAGCAAATGGTTGAGGCCAAAAACAAATCCGTCCACTGAATTCCCCTGGAATAAGTTAATGAGATTCAGCACAAACAGGGAGTAAAAACCTCCGTGTCAGAGGTGCAGAGACACACCTGGACGGAGTGAGCTGACACTAATGTCTTGTGAATCCTGTGAGTCAATTCCCTTTATCATCAATGAACAGCCAGGTCACCCAGGTGAATAGGGTCACAATGTAACTAATAGGTAGCGTTGATTACTTAAATTAAGACAATTCAATTGTAGTACAACTTTTCTGAAATGTTATGTATATAATGGTAACTGTTGGTGAATTTAGGAGAAATCTACAGACGCAAATAGACAAAGTAGTAAAATAAAACACCTAAATGTGTATTTAGGATGTTTTCTCTCCACTAGTGTTAGAGGACACGTGATATGGAAGATAAATAGCCCAAAATCTCTAAATTGAACAGTATGAAAAACAATGTTTTTGCCTTAAATTGTTTCAAAATTTAATTTTGTGTTCTGACTGCATAATTCAAAGTTGGGTCTGAAGACTACAAGTTTGAATAAAATCTTTGCTCCAGGCTAAAGGCTCCAGGCTACATGAGCTGCTGCCAGCACACACAATGCCTACATCTCCTACTAAACCGTTGGCATTCAAGTTGCATTGTGGGAAACGTAGGGTTTCAACAAGAAAGACGAAGGTGTGTAATAAAAAAAGATGATGTCCTGCAATTTTGCTGAATTGATTCCAATTCTTTTTTTTAACTGCCCATTGTGAGTCTGACAGTATCGTAGAAATGATCACCACAGTGGAAAGCAACTGTTTTAATACACCACTTCAGATGAAACGTCCGTTCAAATAAGATGGGCCCTGTGCTGTGGTTGTTTGTCATATTGTCTTTATTAAAGCACACTAATGTGCGTTCAATTTAGCTGCTGAAATAAAACAAAGACCCCCTAAGAGATCGGGGTAACCAGGACAAGCCATTTATACTTTTTGTCCTAAAAATAACACCATCCCTTGCCATCGAGGGAACAACCAACAAAGCCCCCTCGCTGTTAAAAACAACAACAACAACAACAAATGGCCCACACACAAATGGGATGAATCTGCAGTCAAAAACTTCTACTCTCCATCCGATCGCTTCTCACTGTGGTGTGGTATGTCTCCTCTGGGGGACAGATTTGTACACTTTGTTGGAGAACAGGGGGATCCGGTTTGAGCCAGCTCCCGTGGTTTCACATCTATAACGGTACACTCCCTCAACAAAAAGGCCATCGCTGAAAATGAGTGACTCTCCTCCTCCACGTCGTCAACTCCACCAACTGGGGTAAAAAAAAAAATGTTAAAAGATGGTGCGATAAGCTTTTCTATCCTCTTTTCTCAACCCTCCCCCTCTCCTGTTGTCCCTCCGTCCCCTCCTCCTTCATTCGATTCCTCTCTGGCAGTCTTCTCCTCAAGCGGCGCCCCCAACGTCACTGTTGCCATAGCGACCCAGGTATTAAGACCGGGCTCTTTCCCAGCTTCTCCAGCTGTGTTCAGAGGGAAACTTGGGATACGTAGTGCTGAAGTGTCTCATCATCCAGGCATCCCATTAATCCCCCCCCTCCCCTCAACATGCCCGTCACGGCGGGCGCTGAGCCATCAGATCCGTCAAAACAATAAACAATCCCCTGGCAACATGTTCGACCCCGGTTATCGCTAATGACCGCAAATAAATAGCAATCCTACGATAAAGCTGACCGAGAGGGACACACATGCTCCGTGGTATTAAAGGCTGCAGGCTGCAATTAACAATATAGCAGATAAAAACAAATTGTATTAAAATGTAAGTATTAAATATACTGCTGGTCATATAATTAGAATATCATCAAAAAGTTGATTTATTTCACTAATTCCATTCAAAAAGTGAAACTTGTCTATTATATTCATTCATTACACACAGACTGATATATTTCAAATGTTTATTTCTTTTAATTTTGATGATTATAACTGACAACTAAGGAAAATCCCGAATTCAGTATCTCAGAAAATTAGAATATTGTGAAAAGGTTCAATATTGAAGACACCTGGTGCCACACTCTAATCAGCTAATTAACTCAAAACAACTGCAAAGGCCTTTAAATGGTCTCTCAGTCTAGTTCTGTAGGTACACAATCATGGGGAAGACTGCTGACTTGACAGTTGTCCAAAAGACGACCATTGACACCTTGCACAAGGAGGGCAAGACACAAAAGGTCATTGCAAAAGAGGCTGGCTGTTCACAGAGCTCTGTGTCCAAGCACATTAATAGAGAGGTGAAGGGAAGGAAAAGATGTGGTAGAAAAAAGTGTACAAGCAATAGGGATAACCGCACCCTGGAGAGGATTGTGAAACAAAACCCATTCAAAAATGTGGGGGAGATTCAGAAAGAGTGGACTGCAGCTGGAGTCAGTGCTTCAAGAACCACTACGCACAGACATAGGCAAGACATGGGTTTCAGATGTCGCATTCACTGTGTCAAGCCACTCTTGAACAACAGACAGCGTCAGAAGCGTCTCGCCTGGGCTAAAGACAAAAAGGACTGGACTGCTGCTGAGTGGTCCAAAGTTATGTTCTCTGATGAAAGTAAATTTTGCATTTCCTTTGGAAATCAGGGTCCCAGAGTCTGGAGGAAGAGAGGAGAGACACACAATCCACGTTGCTTGAGGTCCAGTGTAAAGTTTCCACAGTCAGTGATGGTTTGGGGTGCCATGTTATCTGCTGGTGTTGGTCCACTGTGTTTTCTGAGGTCCAAGGTCAACACAGCCGTATACCAGGAAGTTTTAGAGCACTTCATGCTTCCTGCTGCTGACCAACTTTATGGAGATGCAGATTTCATTTTCCAACAGGACTTGGCACCTGCACACAGTGCCAAAGCAACCAGTACCTGGTTCAAGGACCATGGTATCCCTGTTCTTAATTGGCCAGCAAACTCGCCTGACCTTAACCCCATAGAACATCTATGGGGTATTGTGAAGAGGATGATGCGAAATGCCAGACCCAACAATGCAGAAGAGCTGAAGGCCACTATCAGAGCAGCCTGGGCTCTCATAACACCTGAGCAGTGCCACAGACTGATCGACTCCATGCCACGCCGCATTGCTGCAGTAATTCAGGCAAAAGGAGCCCCAACTAAGTATTGACAGTATTGACTAAGTACATGCTCATACTTTTCATGTTCATACTTTTCAGTTGGCCAAGATTTCTAAAAATCCTTTCATTGTATTGGTCTTAAGTAATATTCTAATTTTCTGAGATACTGAATTTGGGATTTTCCTTAGTTGTCAGTTATAATCATCAAAATTAAAAGAAATAAACATTTGAAATATATCAGTCTGTGTGTAATGAATGAATATAATAGACAAGTTTCACTTTTTGAATGGAATTAGTGAAATAAATCAACTTTTTGATGATATTCTAATTATATGACCAGCAACTGTATATATCATTTCTAACTGACACATGTTTGGTGTCCTCCAGCATCAGAGAGGCCAGTATATAAACCTCCTATAACCTGCTATTTCCTCTGAACAGATTGATTTTTACTTCCCTCTTCTTTTCTTCCTCCCCCTCTTTTACCCTCCCCTATACAATACATCTCCCTCTTTCCTTCTCCTCTCTACATACATTACCGTCCAGATTATGCTAATATGGGCTCTTTCATGTCTTCGGTGCTGAGGATTTTCTCTAGCCCACGGGTATGTAAAGAAGCCCCGCTATCATCACCGGCCAATAGTAAGAGCAATCTCTCCAATCAGCGGTCGCCTCTCTCCTCTCCATTGTCTCTCACGGCAGCCGGTTCCCGGCTACAGTTTACAGTTGCATTACAGTTGCTGCAGAGCATCTAATATTCAAGGCAGGTTTGGTACACGATATAAGCACCAGAAATATGATGAGTCAAAGTGTCAGGATTACAGGAAGCCAGCGATCAAATGGCCAACGGGTGGTTATGGGAAAAGAGTACTTTTATGCACTAAAGCCTTGATCATACTGTAAAAACTCAAGGTCACCGCTATCGTTGCACTGATTTACAAAAATGAAAGAGAAGTCAAATGAAAAATAATACTAATCAAGAGGGAGTTATAAGGAGATAAGAGAGGGACACACTTGTAGCTAAATGAGGGAGACACTCTGGCCTATGTGCATATATACTGTATAAGCAGCATTATGGACAAATATGAGTTGATTGATCAGTTGTCTGTGCTTATATTCCCTCACTGTGAGATACTTCTTCACCTGGCTCTGTGCGATCCAGATTAATGTGGTCTAGAGATAAGCTGGAGATATCCGAGCATGTGATCAACCCGTGACTGACGGGCCATGTGTCCGGGAGTGTCCGGGTATCAACCGGTCCAGGCCATCCTTCTCCCGAATGTCTAACATTCCAACTCCTGTGTCTGAAGCACGTGCGCGTCAGCGCCACGCTGCGGTTGCCCTTGATAAGTGGCGAAACCAAAGTGTCCACTTTTTTTTCCGCCTCTGACCTTCACGCACAACAAACCTCCAGAGTCCACCGGACAGGCTCAACACTCAAATTTGCTGACCACAGCAGGAGAAAAAAATAGGAAAAAGTCCAGTCCATCAAAAGCCTTCCTTGTGACAAACAGCGAAAGCTTTTCTGAAGACACAACGAAATGGCCACCAAACCCCAAACATCGAAGACTGGAAGACAAAATATGAACAAACGTATGAGTTCCGAGATGAGTCCCCCCCCCCCCCACCCCCTCTCAGGGCAGTGATTAGCCCCAGAGAGAGAGACAAGAGATGATCACCGGAGCAGAGGTCTCCCCTCGCTCCCATCCAGTTCCTAGCACCTGCCAAACAGCATCACATCCCACAAGCCCTCTCTCCCTCTCTATCAGCTGCTCTCTTGTTCCTGCCCCCCTCTGAGGAGGGACCAGCTGAGGATAAACCTGAATCTCTCCAAGTCCCCGACGGCGTGTCGCCTATTTTGTTGAATTATATCAATGTGACCGAAAACCATCCACATTTCTGATGCCTGGCCGCTGCCGATGAGGGCCGATTGTATTAGATGGTGTAGCGTGTGTCTTTCACTTTTTGTACCTGAAGACGCGATGCACATATTCCTCAATAAATAGGCCATCGTTATGAAGAGGGGGAACTCACCTTTTGTAGGCTGGTTGGGTTCAACTGAGTTTTGTCAATGATTTTTATTGCAACCTGGAAGAGACGTTAAGCAAGATTTTGATGAGGAGAAGTAAACAAACCACCATTTCAATTTGCCTCTCCTTATAACAGCCTCCATTCATTCCTACTGATGTCATTAACACCTCTACCTATTGTACAATACACAGCCCTATCTCAGTGTAACACAAATAACATCTATGAATATGTGCACCACTGTCAATGGAGCCATCTTTTACAATGGGTAAATTGCACCTAATGGTTTTATTTACTAAAGCTTTAACTCTTGAGTAATGTATAATAACCAATTTGGGGTTGCCAGGTTGTAAAAGATTTCCAGTGTTTGTCTTTTCTTTTTCTGTAATAATGCAGTTATAAACTATTAAGAAGAAGTGGTCATAAGGTCCTCAGTCAAAGCATCCCAAAAGTTGTTCTCAATGGTTTATTACTGATCTATTAAGCTTTATGAAATGGCTTACTAAACATTATAAAGCAATTATTTACAACATATAGACATTTCACAAAATGTACCTTATCATAAAGTGGTACCCATGCGGATTGAAATGATTTGTCTTAACTCAAACCACTAGCTTGAAACTGAAAAGGTGAGTTTTTCATGATATCTTCCCTTTCAATACTCGACCAAATCATCAACTGACCGTCGCCATTCATCACCTCGGATTCATCATCCATCAACTGCCCATCCATCTCCTTCCTCCCTCCCTCTCTCCCACCAAGGCCCTCCACTGCCCCAAAGTCTCACCTCCTTGCCCGTCAGGATGTGGCGGGCCAGCTTGACCTTGGCAAAGTTTCCCTTGCCGATGGTCTTGAGCAGGCGGTAGTTGCCAATGTGCGGCTGCTCGTCAGAGCAGGAGGCGATGGAGTTCCTGCACCGGGCGCCCAGCGAGCGGCTGGACTGGCTGGTGGCCTTGTCGGAGCGGCTGGCCCCCAACGACACATGCTGAAAGGAAAAACAAAATAAGGGTGGGGGCGGGGTTAAAAAGAGAGGAGAGAAAGAGTGGTCACTCACTGTGCCAACACCATAACACCTCCATATAGGGCTGGGCAATATGGAGACAATCAAATATCATTTTATATATATGACCACATACCGCGATATCAATATTATCGGGTTTACACAATGACATTTTGATAAATAACCATCAGTAATGTGGATATAATGATTAAGTGGGAGAAGGCAAATAATAGAGCAGCTATAACAGTCTGGTAAGTTCAGAAAACTACAAAAAACAGGAAAAGACAACACTTCTGCCATCATGACATCCAAAATCTAAGATGTTATCTAGTCACTTATCATGATATCGATATATTGCCCAGCTCTACCTTCCAGGACTGCCTGTACCCATGGTGGTCTCCAGAAGCTACATGATCTGGGTTAGTCCCTTTTGTCTCTGCAAGCTGGTTATGAACTCTGGTCACCAAAGAATATGGATACAACATACTGTTTTTAGGCAGCAGCTAAACTGTTTTAAGGCACAGGTCCGGGAGAACTCTAACTAGAGTATTTGCTGTACTTGTGGGAGTCACTGAGCTGCTACACCAGATATTTTGTTTCTCCATGTGAATACATGCCCCTTCGTTTCTGGGTTAACAGCTGTTGTCCCCCACGTGAACACATTGTTTCCATTTTGGGTTTCAGCATCATCTCCTTTAGAGGTCTGCTACTTGACCTCCGGAAGATGTCTTCATGCAATACGACAGAGCGTAAGGTAATACTTTTCTGCTGCAACCTGAAGTAGCCCTGGAGTGTTCACAGCCCTGTTAGCCGCTGCTGCATGTTACCACCTCGATTCTGGACCACAACGCTTCCGAAGCCTGAGTCACGGACAATGTTCAGAGAGGAAGCCGAGCGGAAGACAAAAGGAGGACAACAACGTGCGTTTACACAAATGAAGCCGGATGCATCGCAGTGTGAAGCAGCTTCTTGTCATGTGACCAGAAAAGATACAGAGGGATAATGATGATGATGATGGGGGGAGGAAAACAAAAGCAAGGAGATGGAGAAACCAGGATATAAGTGGAGAGAAGACGGAGACAGACGATAAAAGGGTGGAGAGAGAGGGATGTACAGCAGGAAAGAGGGAGCAGATGCCGGCACTGTGGTCCCTGGCATCACACTTCCATCCCCCCAGCATGTCATCTTGCTCTCAGCTTCACACACACTCACACAACCACGTAGCCTCACGCCCCACCTTCAGACACTCCCTCCTTCCCTGTTCTCATGCCCCACCTTGAGCCAATTTGGACCCATGTCTCTCCAAATCTAAAGACGCCGGCAAGTCCCAACCGACAGCAAGGGGGCCGGGGTGCATCAGCTCCACCGACTGTACGGCACAGGCTCGCGTCGAAGCCATTGGGCCTCAAACCTGTATTCCCACCCCCACCCCCTGTCCATTCACTCATCTGTCACCGTCGCTTAACTGTGGAAGGGACGACAGCAGGATCCAGATCCATTTTAAGTGGAAGGAAATGGCTCTGCGTTCGTAATCAATCGTGCACTCACACTTAGTGTAAACTCACACACTTGTGCACGTCCAGTTCCACACACACATACTCACATCTACTAGCTTAACCATCCCTCTGTGCTGAGAGCTCTGCTAACAAACAGATGGGGGGGGGGGGGGGAGTCTTTGCCAGAAGAGTTTAGGGCAGAGAAATGCCATAATGCAACGCCAATCAGTCATGTCACCATTTTGATGGAGGATACATTCATAAGGAGTGTGCAGATAGATAGACTCTGTCATATTCCGTCTGTCTCACATGAATAAATCCCCTTCGCCTCTGTCTTCATTAGAGGCCACTACTGTTCTCCACTGTACTGAATGTATGGCGCTGTCTGACACCCACTGGCTCTGGGGTTGGGCGCTTTGTAGGCTGCGCAGCAACGGACTGCACATCATTTTACGCAGTAATCCCCCTTCGCTTCATGCGAACAAACCTAGATATTCTCCCTACATTTATTGTGGCCTTCTGCGCTCACGTCCCACCCATCCAATTTCTGGGGAATACACGCACGCACACACACACACACACACGCGCAGGCAAACACACACAGAGGCGGCAGCAGCAGCAAGGAGTCTAATGTGACATCACTATCTCTCCACAGCCTTATAATAAGAGGTGACGGCTGGTTTTTCAGGCTTTCTGCGCATATCCGCTGAATGTTATCGTATGCGGATGGACTCATTCCAGGCTTGGCTCGCCATCGGCTCATTCCCTGCGCAGACACTCAAGGTTAGCCATTTTTTGTAAAAAATGTAAAGAAAAAAAGAGCCTGTTCTGCTTAAAAGATCCATCCGATATCACCTCCAGAGTCCTTTCCCCCGATGAGGAACATATAGCAGCATCCATGACCCCCCCCTTTCCCCCGCCTACACTGTGTGAATGAATGCCAAAGGCCACATACATATCTTTTTCTTTTTTTTTTTTGCAGGGATGCACGGTTTATCCTTTGCATGCACACAAACATAGAGGCTATAGGCTTCAATTGCACTTACATGGTCTCCAGTACTCCTGTCGTTCCCAGACGGTAATGCAGACCGAGAGGACATGTTGTTTTACTCTCTCCCCTCTTTCCCTGAGTGAGAATCGCGGTGCGTTTGCGTGGATGCTATTCACGGGGCTCCGAACGGACACAATAACATCCGCAGACGCGACCCCGACCGTCCCCAAATCAATCTGCCTCTTCTCCAGCCGGCCGAGCCGCGGTCGAGAGGAGACCTCTGCCTGTCATGGCAGCGACGGATATCTGGAGGAGAGGGGGGTGGGGGGGGTGTCCTCTCAAACAAGCTGCATTTTTTTCCACCATGCACTTTGCAAAAAATAAATAAATAAATACATGTAAATAATGAAAAACACGGCCGATCAACGATGCAGCAAATGCAATGCAATGCAAATCCCGAGCATCGAATGAAGTGCTTAAAATGCGGTGATGTTTGGCCGGAGCCCAGCGTCTCTGTGGCGACTATCCACCCCCTGCCTCATCTCGCCACACAAAACAAACACGGCTCCTTCTGGATGAGTATCTCCGTTCGTCAATAGCACTGCCCGATACGTTCGTTCACTTTAAACCCCGCGACGCCAAATGCAACCCGCTCCCCCTTTTTTGCAGCAAGCTCGCAGGAAAACACAGCTCATGGTGCGGCGGTGTGTGTGTGTGTGTGTGTGTGTGGGGGGGGGAGGCCGGAATGTTCAGAAATCGGTGTTCCCGGTCGGTGAGATGCGCACCGCCGTCAAGTCAGGAACAATGCATCGAGTAGGAAGTACCGGTCTCTTTCTTTTGACATAAAGGCATTTATGAATCAACAAGAATTCATTGTAACATGCATATTGGGCTGAAGTTAAAAGTACCACAGTCCTGCAATGAGTCTTCATGAAGGTTATGCAGTTTGTGGTGCAGCTGGTATTCTATTATAGTACTGACAGGTGTTTCTATTCTATTGTGAGGGTACACTAAAACAGCACATATCTCTCCTGATAAAAAACATCCTAACATGAAGTCTCACCTTTCAAATACAGACATACAGCTCCATCAAAAGAACATCCACATGATAGCATAAGACAAATTAACGAAGCCAAAGACAAGTATGGCCATCAGGAGGAGGGAAATAACAGGCGACTGAGTCTATAAAAGTGTATTTAGTGATACGCTGCTGATATGTATATAAATATGTAATTTCTTGTTGTTGTATATAAACAAAAACTTCATCAATAAAAACATCACAGACCTAAACAATCATTACATAAACGCTAGATTGAAGTAACAATTGAACACGCCAGTGTGCTGGTGTGTTCATGTGTATATTTATTCATCTGTTTACTTATAAAACATGGGAAATCATATTTATCTTTGTTGTATTCTTTTTTGCTTACATTTAATATTCCCTCTTGTTTTCTTACACGTGTGGATGATGTGAGGATGGATGCCCCAGTTCTTTAAAGCGGTTACAATTTTATTTTGAAAACCACCTTCTCTTCACTTCCTGTCTGATTTGTCTAACCACAGCTGAGATGCGCCACATCGGAGATGCTCACAGGTCCAGCACACAACACAACGTACCGCCGGTGTTACCAGCGTAGATTTGTGCGTAAATCAGCAGAAAACTCGCCAAAGATGGCCGAAGTACAGAACCTCTTCATCTAAAAACCTTTTGATTCATTTTAGTGTTTTCTGCTTTTATACGATCTGGTGTTTAATGACGAGTTGTGTTTGCATGCAGTGGTCTGCACAGAGAGAGGAACACTTGGGTGCCAAGGGATCTTCTCTCAGATAAATCAAATCCTTTAAAAAGACAGAGGAATAATTTGAAATTAAACCCTGTGTCTGTAATGCGATCAAAATGACAGAAAGATTGCATTGGCTTCATGCTAACCCTATCCACTTCTCAGCACACCGGAAACTGCATGTAGACTGTCAAACTTTCCTTTTTGATAGTGCTTATAGTTAGGGCTGGCTCAGGTTCATAGTTAGGGCTGGCTCGGGTTTATAGTTAGGGCTGGCTCGGGTTCATAGTTAGGGCTGGCTCGGGTTCATAGTTAGGGCTGGCTCGGGTTTATAGTTAGGGCTGGCTCGGGTTTATAGTTAGGGCTGGCTCGGGTTTGCCTCGGACTACCCACTAGATATGCTGCTATAGGCCTAGACTGCCGGGGGACTTCCTTGGATACACTGAGCTCCTTTTCATCTGTATACATCCATGTCCCATTAACGCACATTACTGTATTTGCTTCTTCCCTGGAGTCTCTGTGCTTTCTCGCCTCGCAGGTTTCCATGGACTGTGGTTACATCTGGACTGTGGTCTTGCCTTCTGCCGTGATCCTGTCTGACACCCACTCCTATATTATTATTATTATTAGTGACAATTATATTACTGATACCGTTAATGGTTTTATTATCATTATTATTCTATTATTGTCACAATCAGGCTTTGCCTTGGGTGTTTTGTGTGTGGTTTTCTGTAGCTCCTCACTTCCTTCACCTGTCCCTAATCAGTTCATTCAGTGCACCTGCCAGTCACACTCTCCCTCATCAGCACAACTCTCCTCACCTGTTCTAGTCACTATTTAAACCCCTGTCTTTCACTCACTCACTGCCAGATCATTGCTTTTGTTTCCTACCTACCCGCCCGTTTTGCTCTTCCTGTTCCCGGTTTCCCAGTCTGTCTGCCCGCCCTGTTTTTGCCCTGCCTTGTCCTGCCGGATTTCCCCCCCTTGTCTCATCCTTGGATTACCTGTTTTTGTTTCGTGAGTTATTAAAACCCTTTTGTTCACTACTCTAACCCTCTGCATTTGAGTCCTCATTATATCCACTGCTCCTGTTATTAGTTGTCATTTTTCCATTATTATTCTGCTTACTACTCATTATTTGAATAATTGATGTCATATGCATTGGGTGTGTTGTACTATGTATGCTCTGTTATGCTGTTCATTCTGTACACATGACATCTATTACACTTCTATCCATCCTGATGGAGGGATCCCTCCTCTGATCTCCCTAAGATATCTTCCCTTTTTCCCCCTAAAGTAGAGTTTTTCCTGTTCCGATGTGAGGGTCCTGGGACAGAGGATGTCGTATGTTTGTAAAACCCTCTGAGGCAAATTTGTGATTTTGGTCTATATGTCACGGGGCATGGTGAGGACTCAAGCACAGACAGCCAGATGCAGTGAGATAAAGGGTTTTAATGAAATACGAACACACAGGGAATCCAAGGACGAGACGAGGGGGCAAATCCAGCAGGGCAGGCAGACATGGGAAACCGGGAGCAGGACAAGACAAACAGACGGGTACAACACAAACAATGACCGGCAGTGAGTGACTGAGAGACAGGGGTTTATAGGGTGACTTGAACAGGTGAGGAGAGTAGTGCTGATGAGGGAGAGCTTGATTACTGATCAGGGACAGGTGAAGGGAGTTGGACTGGTGCTGAGGGAGTGGCTGACAGGTAGAGTGCTTGATTAGCGGCAGGTGAAGAGAGTTAGGCTGAAGCTAAACAAAGACACACAGAACACAAGGCAAAGCCTGATCGTGACACTATACAAATAAATTGAATTGAAGTGAAATGTACACACAACCAGCTGATGGGCCTTTAGAGGTGCCAAACACAGGAGCTGTATCCACCCTTCCTGTGGCCCCCGGAAATGATGACATTTCCATGGATACCTTTGTCTTCGCTCTGTCCATGTCCACTAACGGCCCCTTTTGACTTCCAGAGGGTCATCTCTGGGGTTGGCAGAGAGAAGAGACGTGCCGATAACACATCCGTTGGCGTGTGTGCTCCTGTGATGGAGTGGTTGTAAGGAACTGGTCCCCCATTGGTTTTTGTGATGGCATATCACAGTCCCACCGCCACGTATGTGTATTATGCGTTCCATGTCTGGAGGTTTGTGCCGAGGCATTATGGTTGATGCCCTGTCCGTTCATTGGGTCCCTACCTGTTGGACATGTCTGGGCATGTGCAAAACAGGTCGGTGCTTAGCACTGTGACATCAACAATCTTAAAGACATTTTCAAATCTGTCTCAAAACAATAGTCAGGTGCCCATTTCGCTTGTTGTATTCATTCTTTCTGTTCCTATTGGCCTTCCAGAGATCCCTTGGTCCTTTAAGGCAATTTCAATGTATGCAAGTGATGGGAGATAAAATCTACAGTCTTCATTCGTTGAAAAAAAATACATCCCACCGTTTAAATAAACGAGGTACTCCCCAGATGAATAGGGTTAAAAAATGTACCTAGGTCTCACTGTGAAACTTCCCATGTTTACTCAAGTTAAAACTATTCAGTTTGGTACTATAAGTTTTCTGAAATGGTACGTTTAAATGTGTAAATGAGACGTTATCTAATGGTAACTTTTGGTGAATTTAATAGAACTCTACAGATGCGAAATAGACCAAAATCTCTAAATTGACCAGTGTATGTAAAAAAAAAAAACTAAAAAAAAAACCTATTTTTCTTGACCGGGGTGTGTTGGTAGGTCATTTCTTTTAAAAACATGTTTTGTTATAGCTGTTGAACTTCAACAGGAAAGGAACACTGTTTCAACACAGGATGTCCATGTGGTTCTGGTTTGGCAACGGTCTAATGTGGTATGAAATCCAGTAAGTTTTGGGATCTTGTAATGTGTCTCTCAGTGGCTCCACTTTGTGGTAGCCACATTCATCATACTCATAAAGAGCTCAGTTTCCAGCTTCACCGGACCTGTGAGGCAGAGAGGGGTTTTTCTGCTTCCCCTGCTTCCTCTGACCCTGATATGTTATTGCATCATTGTAGAGGTGTGTGAACCCTCCCACAGCTGCCTCTCTGAGTTTCTGTCTGCTGCCAAGTTACCTACTGGGCTCCACATGACTGGACTGGTCATTCTTATTTTTTAGGCCTTTTGTTGAAGGGAATGAAAAAGCCTATAGCAGATGGTGTGTTCATCAATTCAGTAAGTCTTGCTAGTCTATACAGAGCAAAGCTAAATTTGTGGATTGGTGCCCTCAGACTAGTTAATTGCACATACATTTAGACCCTAATTATGAATCTTTGCCGGAAGCCTGTGAGTATTTGTTGTTACTACTTTACTTTATCCAAAGTGTCATCCTACATTTATTCTTTGGGCCATCACTTTGACTGCCTTTTCACTAGGGTAGGACATATGGATAAAATCTGCCATCACTTTATATGCAATTTCAAATCACAATATTGATGACGCAGTACATTTTCTGGTAATGCAAATGTCTGTTTTTGGCTACGGCATTGATTTAGATACTTGAACAATACGATGCTAGCAACTCTGTAAGGCTGCACTTAAGCACAGTAGTGCTTTAAACTAACTGCTAATGTCAAAATGCTAATATGCCCACGGTGACACCGTCAACACGGGGATATTTAATGTTTACCATGTTCACCGGCTTAGCTTAACATGTTAGCATGTGAATATTTGCAAGTAGCACTTAACACAGAGTACAGCCGAGGCTGATGGCTAATGTCCTTTTTTCACTACAGGAAAAAAAAAAAGAAGAAATTTGGACCTGATGGTTTAAATGAAAAGAAAAGTTAGGGGATCAATAAGTTATCAACCTGGGGGAACATGAATATCAAAATTCATGACAATCCAATAGCTGTCAAGACATTTCACTCAAAACTACTGTCACGACCTGGCTCCGACAGCCATGACCCAATCATGGAGACGCAGAGAGTTTGCCACAAAGCACAGTTTATTA